TTGAGGGGACTCTCACATGCTAGCTGCACATGTTAGCCAGCTTTCTGCTCACATTATCCTTTTTTTTAGGTCATCCCAGTGATGACCAGTTGGATTCTAAGAAGTTGGTGGTATGGGGTATACAATGGCCTTTTTGTGCTATTGCTTGGAGTTCACATCCAGAATGGCTTGTGTGTGCCATCTGAAATTGACTTGTCCTTTCTGAAATGACGGCAGTCTCTTTTGGGGATATTGATCTTCACCATTCCAGTAGTCTGCACTGTACTGAAGGCATCAGAGCTGAGGGGCAAAGGTGTCCATTCGAGTACACGCTCCACCACCAAAGGTGGAGGAAAGTGTTTAGAATTAGTTCGAGTTTGTTAACTTGAACACACATGAGGAGCATTGATCTTACTGACATGAGATCATCTTGCATGTGTCATTTTATTCCCCAAGACTTAGAGAGAGACTTCCTAGAGAGTATTTTCTAGAGTAACCTCTGGTTCATCCCCCATAATTTCTTCAGTTAGCATCGAGGCATGTTCTCTAAGATTAATCAAACTGGCTGAGGCTAGCACGGATGCTAATCCGCTTTGTTCTCCTGCTTGCTTCCAAGGTAGTGAGCGGTTCCTGCGGTGATCAGGCGTAGGATGTTGGTGAAAGCCTCGCTGTTCTGCAGCCACCATTTCTGTGTGGCTTTTCTTCAGGTGTCAGTGTGGTTTTGCATATTTTATTTCTTTCCTAAATCTCCTTTGCATGGATGTCATTTTTAGCACAATACACTTCATACGTATCCGAATCATGCTGGGCCCTCAGTTTGGTTTTACCTTGGAGAGTCTGGTGCTGCCTGTTTACTGCTAACAAGCACAAGTGCTAAGCTGAGAATCTTAGATTATTTGACGACAGCTTTATTTCTTATGTTTTGGCTTCTATTTTTCACATACCCTTCTTTACATTTCCTCTTATCCCACTTAAATGTGTTCAGCCATCCCTTACTGGCATCTTTTCATATTTCCTGCTGCTTTATCCCTTTATTTCTTCATCAATCGTCTCTCCACCCATTTCGTTTCAACTCCAGTCAGGGAAATCATGAAGGTGGTTTGTCTCTTGCTGGATTTCTATATTCACAAACATAACAATGAAGGGTTTTGCACTAACTTGGGTAGTGACCCCTTTGTTGATGTGCTTGGTTCTTAAACTGAAGCTGGGTGTCTTGCGGTTCCTCATCCCAGAATGTATATTCTGTCAGTGGGGTAGAAAGGTATAATGTCCAGTTCAGTTGTGTCCACATGGGGGAGAGGAACTAATTTTGCAGGCTTGTCCTACACATGGTGTTCAAAGCCTGATCTCAATGGCTGTTCCTCAACCGTTTCTCCTTTGCTGTGGCTTTGGTTGTGGATTAATCATTGATCAGTCAGGATCTGTTCAGTAATCGACTGATGCTCCGGCCCAACCCTGCTGGATGATTTTGCGACCCCTGTACGAGCAAAAACAAAGTGGGTAAAATAATAAAAAGGTCATTATCGTAGATACCTGGATTCCGCTTGCATTTGTGCTGAACCATGAATCACGGTTGCCATTGGCGATGTGTCAGGCTCCCTGGCCTGTGGTGGGAGAGCAGAATTGTAGGTATGAGATTAAATTTGATACCTTCTGAGGAGCCAAAGCGGGGATGGGATTAAACCAATCACTGAATGCTTGCTGAGCCTGAGTATATTATTCCCTCCGCCTTCCCCCTGTTATTTACAGAGATGGGCTCTGGTATGTTAATGTCACTGTGCACAACCTGGAATTAAATTGTTGGATGCAATTATGGAATGTCTGTCTGCCCTTGCATCCCATGTAGCTCTGATCTCCATCTCCGCACCCAGAAATATCCCTGTATATGTTTCATTAGGTTTCATTTGTAAACCTTGCCACTAACAATATAGGACTTGGTAAGACTTCAGACTTTGTACCTGTCTCTCAGGGTGTGGATTTACTGGAGAGAGCAGTATTGAAGTGCTGCAGATCTTTGATGTGCCTCAACTGCTGAGCTGTCGGTGGAATGTAGAGTGGCTCTCTTTGTGTCTCATGTATGTCAGACCCTCCTTTGCTCTGGCTCTGAGTGTCCTGCTGGAATTCTTTTCGTCATGCAGGCCACCAATTCCTGGGGTCATCTGGACCACAGAGGGCGATTACGGCCGTGCCCTGGCTGATGCTGTGGGGGTGGGGACCACTGTTTAGGTTTGAATGGCTGACTTATATGTGGTGTGCATTTGGCTGAATACGTCAGATCAGCCTCTGCCGATCTTACGTGGTCAGTTGACCAGCTAGCCACCTTTGACTTTTTCTTAGGAAAAGGTTCATTAGCACTGTGTATTAACCATTCAGGCTCAGTGTGTTTAGACCAAGATGAGATGATTATTTTTTGCCACTCAAACACCTGGAAAAAGAGGAGTGTAAGCCAAAATATAGACGTACCCTTCTGTCTCTGCTATATTATACTCTATTTGAAGTGAACAGTCTCCATGCCAAAACACACACACAACCCGGCTCATTTTGCCTCAGCAACTCTTCACGAAACAGGAGGCACCTCTTAACTGCTTTTCCTGTCGACTATGTTCTCAGTAGTGGTTGACGTGATGTTGACGAGCTGGGGGTGGGGGAGATCATTGTTCAGGATGTCTCTGAGCTGCTCCTCCCGCTGAATTGCCTGACTGACTGTTTAAACATGATGATCCCTGTGCATGGTCTTGGATCTCCGGATTTTTCCTGATAGATGATGCAAAATTGTGAGTTTGCAGCATATAGTTTCCATGCCCACAGAAATATTCCACAGGGAGGTAAAGGTACCCTGCAGTTATTAAAAATGAAACGGATGTGTCAAGCACAGTACTGTTTCTGTTGCACCCCTACTATTGGCCTCCTCGATCAACATGCGTTTTTATTAATCAAATTCATTTGAAAAGGGAATGAGTTCATGCTGATCATGTAGTGCTGAAAAATACTTTGTTGTATATTTGGAGCTTTTAAAATTTTTATTTTTTTTTACTGAGATTTTGAGGGTCATGCAAATGCTGTGTTGGAGGCCTGTCGAGTGAGGCGTCATGCTAACGCTATTACTGTGGTGCTGGCCTGGCGAGTGAGTCATCATGCTAATGCTAATGCTGTGGTGGAGGCCTGGCGAGTGAGTCATCATGCTAATGCTAATGCTGTGGTGGAGACCTGGCAAGCGAGTCGTCATGCTAACGCTAATGCTGTGGTGGAGGCCTGGCGAGTGAGTCATCATGCTAACGCTAATGCTGTGGTGGAGACCTGGCAAGCGAGTCGTCATGCTAACGCTAATGCTGTTAGGGAGGTCTGAAGAGTGACGTGTCATGCTAATGCTAATGCTGTTCTAAGGTCCATAATGGGCCATTTTAATATCGTGCTGCTTTTTAATGCACAAGGAGAAGCTTAACTGTATGGTCATTGACTGTCACCATTGAAAATTGTAAGTAATACACTGCCTCAAGGTCATTGATTTTAAAGCAAGAAGAGAGACTTGAATTAATACGTTTAACTAATTTTTTACTCAAGGGTAAAATAATTTTTTTTTGTAAATATGAGTGAAATGATTACAAGGGACTATTTTGGGACTAAGAAAAACCATAATGACATTTATAGTGTTTAGAGATCTATGTTTTAAGTTAACTTTTCAGCAGTCCTTTAAAATCGAATAAAACAGTATGCAGTAAAGGGGTGGTTCTTCATGGACTGACAACAATTTCCCACGTCTCCCTCTGCAGACTGTTTCTGAATGTCTTGCTGTCAGGTTGCATTTGTGCAAATTACAGGTGAATGCACCATCTTGTAATTCTGCGTTAATCCTGTTTTTAAGAAAGGATGCGTTTTAATAAGCTCCACGTCCTATCGACTCCACTAGCATTGGGAAGCAACTTTGGATGTCACATCAGCAGAGAAAGATCCTTTGCTCTGTTCACCAGGCAGCCCCTGTAGCTTCATGCAGGACATGATGGATGTGGTGAAGGTTTCCACTGAGCATCCTGGGCTGTTGTCATTTTTCATGGCACCTTAGACTCCCTGTCCCACCCCCAGAAGCCGTAGCTATCTCCCTGTTTTCTTGTAGCCTTTAGAGAACACCTTTCATGGGTCTTTTGTTTGAGGGTTTTTGTGTGCGCTGCTGTCATTTGGTTTGATTGTTGTACAAATCTGGTCCAGATTTGTTGATTATGAAACTTGGAGAATCAAGGGAGCTTAGACGGAATATCCCGGGCTAGGGTCTCTCCCCCTCCCCCAAAGTGGTATGACATAAAGTCATTGTTAGGAGTAGGAATCTCCAAATGGGGGAAGAATGTTCTGGCATTGGCAGGAGAAAAGCAAATACGCTAATGGGGGATAGGCATGGTTTGGGCCTGAGGTCTGTCGCTCTCTCTTTCTGTGTGCGTATGTGTGTGTGTTTGGATTATGTTTATAAGACATTGTCCCCCACAATGTAATAACTTGTGTTGATGTGGGGACCATTTTTCAGGTCCCCACAAAGATCTGTTAATACAATCAAAAAAAGCAAAAATGCCAAAAGTCTTGTATTTTGTTTTGGTTACTACTTATGGTTAAGGTTATGGCTGGGTGCTATGTTGAGATTAGTATTTTCCCCATAGAAATGAATGGAGACTCACCACAAATATATAATTGCAAACCCATGTGTGGGTGTACAGAATATTCAGTTTGGCTTTCAGAACTGTTAAATATCCAGTGGAAAAGTTTCCAAGGTCCTGGAGGATTCTAGGTGGTTTGAATGCTACCGTAAACTTATTTAGCATTTAATTGCATGTGATTTAATTGGCTTGTACCTTAGAGACGTGTGTGTGTGTGTGTGTGTGTGTGTGTGTCTTTGTGCGTGTGGCGTTCAAAATCCACATAACACATATCGTACACATACCTTTAACTCCAGGTGAACCCAGGTCCCAGACCTTGACAGTGCTGCATGTTTCCTCTGCGATTAACGCTGGTTTTTCTCATCCCTCTGTTGCCCCCAGGTTCAACTACAGGTCAACGCATTACCTCACAACGAACGGCTTCTATGAGTTCCTCAACTGGTTCGATGAGAGAGCGTGGTACCCCCTGGGCAGGATCGTTGGTGGGACTGTGAGTAAAACTTGTGTGTGTGTGTTTATAAATAATATAAAATGTATATATATGTATGTGTGCGTATAATAAAAATCTGTCATGTTGACATTGTGGGGATACTTTTTTGGTGTGGGTGTGTGTGTGTGGGGGAGGGGGGTGGATTTAATGCAGCAGTGATCTCTGGGGGGCGGGGCTGTAAATCCTGATTCATTACCTTTGAGAGTCTCTTTGCTCCTGTTTGTGTCCTTTGAGGACAGCTGGCTAATGAGGTTCTGTTGGTTTCCAATGGTACCGTGAGCTGTGCTTTTGCACCAGTGCTCAGCAGTGAGTTCTGGTACAGCTGTGGTACGGTGGCACCCTGACCTGTAAACACGGTGCACAGGCAGCGGGGCATTGGCCGGTACTGAGTCCCGAATGCTGCACTGAGTCATGGTAGCGTGCGGAGACCCAGCGGCCTTTGGGGAGTTGGCCAAGGCCTCGCTCCGGGCAGATGCTGTCGGGTCCTGCTCGTGTCGGGGCTGTGCCTGACGCATGATGGGCCCTGTCAGGAAGTAGCCGTGTGTTTCCCTAGAGTCTTCAAGAAGCCACACTGACCCCCCCAGAGCCTTCAAGATGCCACATTGATCCCCCCCCCCCTGAGCCTATGGGACGTCACAGATACCACAGGATGATGACATGGATGTCAAAAGAGCTTCTGGGATCCCTGGAGGGCTCCTGTGCTGGAGATTCAACCTGCATTAGTAACCCAACTGCCGGTTCCCTCGGATATTGTACACTTGCAGTGGGTTCTCTGGTCCTGCCTGCTGTCCCTGCTATGTGACAGAGTCTGGGCCGTTATCGTGATTCTCTCTGCTGATCTCTCTGCTAATCTCTCTGCTGATCTCTCTGCTGTCCCATTCTTTTGGGGTCAGATTTGGAGTGTTTTGTTGGAGTCTATTTTTGGATGGATTAAAGTGTGGGTTTTCTGCTGTGTGTTTTTTTTTTTTTTAGTAGTAGGAAGGCAGCTATAACACAAGCTGTCTTTAAGAATAGCTTGACTGCTAGTTCTGTGTTGGGGGGGGGGGGGGGGGGGCAGAATTTATAAACATCCTCTTTGTGATGGGTCGCTTTTTCACCTTCCTGGCCGACCTCAGGCTGCTGGTGGACAGGATTAAAGGTCGTTGCTGTAGTGACCGCAGGATAGAGACCTGCACTCCCGCGGGACCCAACGCACCAAGTGCGGCGCGGGACAAGATTTGATGGGTGAATGCGGGTGCGGGCGGTAAGGTCCTCATGTATGTGCGGGTTGCGGGAGAATAGAATTAATCGCGGGACTTATCTTAAAATTAATTTATTATAAACAAATACTAATTTATCTACTGCACAAAAGCAACAAGAACGACTAAATTAAAATAATAACAATTCACAGGCGAATCGTCTACAGAAACTACAATTGGCGCGCTCTGAGTGCCGGGGGACGTAACCGGACACCCCAAGAAGGAATCAGCCTGGTGCTTGGACAGGATGGCATGTTCTGAAAAGCTCCTCGTTCATGTCCATGTTCATCATTCCATTTAATTAAACTCAAATAAAACGAAACATATTTGTTTATTTTCCGTTTGTTTTTTATATATATACTCAAAAGGGAAGCAAGTGAAACAAATAACAGATTAGCGGGAAGAAGCGGTAAAAATAAAACTACTTATATGTTTACCTGCGGGATTTTGCGGGCGGGAGCGGGAGAAAATAATATATATTTTTTTGCGGGAGCGGGACCGAATCTTGCAGGAGCGGGACTGAAAAATCTGTCCCGCGCAGGTCTCTACCGCAGAAGCCTTTGTGTCTCCTTATTGGACTGATGCGTAACAGGAAGTGGGCGGGTGCATTTTGCTCCTGCTGTGTGCCACCACTCTGTGATGGCCTATACCGTAATATCCAGAGACACCATTTCCGACAATGCCCCCCCTTCCCCCACACAACTCAAAACTGATTTCACGCTCTGCTGAAGTCTGTGTTAAATACATAATGGAGAGTAATAGCTTGCAGGGTGCTGTTCTTTGAAGTGCCTGTTCCATAGCTGCCTTTCTCTTCTTTCCATTTTTATTTTCTGTGTTTGTATCTCCATCTCTGGATGGTCCTCTAAGTGAGAGCCTTCTCCTGGCCCTATGAATGCCGTCTAAGGCAGGCCTCTGCCTGAATGTTTGCGCTGAAAGCCATTCCCCCCCTCAGATGTACTTTGATCAGGTTCTCTGAACACAACAAGAGCGCAGTACTCTGTCCTAAGCCCCTGCCTGGTTCACTGTTAATTGAGATATTTAGAGGTAGAGATTGCTGAGTGAACGTGTGCCTTGCCTTTCCCCGCTGACCTCCCCAGGGGGAGACCTTTCAGAATGATTCAATCTACTGTTCTCAGGATCTCAGCGGGTCACTGATGGATTTCTAAGTGTAAGTGGAGGTGATGGAGTTAAAACCTTTCAGAAGTGGATGGAAGAATCGAATGGCAGTCAGTCTGGACCTTTGCATTGCTGGGGACAGATGTTCCTGTGGTCTCCGCCTTGGCATTGCATGCCCTCCGGCACCCCATTGCATGATGGGTGACATTCAGTGTGAAAGGCACCATGATGGGGGAAGAGATTGAGGAAGTAGGGATGACTGGAAAAAAATGAGCATCGCTCCTCTCTGAAGAGCCTGGCTTGTCTTCTGTCACTGATAGGTTACTCTGCTGTTAACCCCATTGTTTTATATATACTTTACCCTAGGTGTGGGCGATATGAGATCGTGAAGACGATCTATGTGTTGACGATCTGCCAAAGCATAGAGATCGTAGAATCGTCTATATAGATTGCATTCTATCTATCGCGGCTCTATGCTCTTCCTAATTTTTTTCCTCAGCCAAAGCGCACTATTTGCTAGTCCGCTTAATGCCCGCCTTATAGAAACAGCGCTCAGCCAACCAAAGTGCTCCACCACTAGCTCTCTTTGATTCAATTTCTGAGTGTAGCGGGAAGCAATGGCTGAAAGTGAGAATGTAATGGATGAGTTGGTCCCTAAAAAAACTCTACATAGGTGACATTGAAGCGGTTTGGCTTTTACCCAAACGATAAGGAACAAACAGTCGTTATTTGCTAAGTCTGCAGAGAAAAGGTTCGCGCGTCGGACGGCAACACAACGAACCTTTTCAATCGCTTAAAGAGACAACATCAAATAAATAAATATATATATATATATATATATATATATATATATATATATATATATATATATATATATATATATATATATATATATATATATATAAAAAAAAAAAATTTAATTTAACTCATGAGACAACGTCCGAAACAGTATGCCGAGAGTATAACGGCTAGGCTTGTCACACCACAAGCAGCAGAGGCAACAGTTACCAAACCAAAACTAACCACTCTGACACAAGCTTTTGAGAAAGGCGCTCCATATGACAGGACAAGCAAGCGATGGAAAGACATAACAGAAGCAGTTACCTTTTACCTCGGAAAAGATATGGTTCCCATCAAAACTGTAGAAAAGGGGTTTAAAAGTCTGCCGAAAGTAATTGATCCGCGATACGAGCTGCCCAGCCGAAAATATTTCTCCAGCACTGCCATTCCACGTCTGTCCTCCGAATGCCGCGAAAAAACGGAACGCGAGGTTCAGACGTATTGTCATGTCATGTTAAAATGACAATGTTGAATAATTCAGTAATAGTTTAAGAATTGTATTAGCCCATAATAAGTTGCCATTTTTATTGTTTACCAAGTTTTTGTTGTTCATATTTTGTTCTGAAGTAAAGTTCCAAGTATTTATTTAGCTTTAAATAAACTTGGCAAAATTGCACAAACTGATTAAAATCTGTTCAGAAATGTTTTTTGGCTAAAATCCTGTTTTTGTTCTTTAGGACTATATTTTTACAAAGGAAAATAGTTTTGTTGTACTGTTCAGTAATTTGCAAAATAGTAAAATCTATATCATTCAAATCAGTATAAATATTGTGATAAAATCGAAATTAAATAAAATCGTGATATGATATTTTAGCCATATCGCCCACCCCTACTTTACCCCATCTCCTGCTTGTTCCAGTTCAATCTGCTGCCTGTAGCAACACTCTCCTTACCAGGGAGTCTCAGTTTTTTGGTTTTTTTTTTGCACTTCTGTGCTTTTTTGGCTCAAGATGCCCACCAGTCTGCCCCCTGCTTACGTCACAAGTCACATGGCGCTGTGTCAAATAGCAGCACCATTTGCTGGAGTGAGGAACTGTCAGGGATCTGACAGGATAACAAAACCCTGGCTGATTTAATCCCTCCCTTCACTGGCAGAATGATGCCGGGTTGATGTACTGCCATGGTGCCGCAGTCAAAGTCCGGATTCCAACTGTCATCTGAGCTGCAGAACTTTTGTGTTTTTGTTTTCTTCGAGGGGGTGGGGGGTGCATCGTCCACTGACTGAACCAGTGAGGCAACCCTATAAAAAGTACAAGCATCAAACTTCGGGAAGGGTTCCATGGATATGTGAGTCAGTATCAGGTCATCTGCAGTGTCCAGAAGCAGCACTTCTATAAAAGTTGGCTGCTCTAAATTTAAGACGTGTATCTTTCGGTTGGCTCCAGCTGTGTTTTTAAACCACCCACCATGACTATTGGTAAGAAAGTCATTAGTGAAAAGAGACTTGCGGTAGTGAGAGGAGTTCTCATGCACTATGCTTGTACTGGCCACTGGTGGCCCTTAGCAGGAAGTGCCCCACGATTGGATGATTGCATTAAGCTGTTGATGGGTTTTTCTCTTCCCTCCTCCCTCCAGGTATACCCAGGTCTGATGGTGACTGCTGGCCTCATCCACTACGTGCTGAACCTCCTACACGTGACGGTGCACATCCGCGACGTCTGCGTCTTCCTGGCGCCCATCTTCAGCGGCCTGACAGCCATCTCCACCTTCCTGCTGACGCGGGAGCTCTGGAACCAGGGGGCGGGGCTACTGGCTGCCTGCTTCATCGCCATCGTGCCTGGCTACATCTCTCGCTCCGTCGCCGGCTCCTTCGACAATGAGGGCATTGCCATCTTTGCCCTGCAGTTCACCTACTACCTTTGGGTGAGGACTCCTGGGCTGGCCCAGTGCACAGTGCGGTCACTCTGCCGCTCCTGTCCTCCTCTCGTCTTTCTGCTCCGGTGGTGAGCTGTCCGTGTGAGGCTTTTAACGTGGGGGGAGGATACTCTGATGCTTTGCTGTCTCCCATAAGTGCGTGCACTTCACAGCCCCCTAATCATGTTCTCTGCACTGTGAGAGCATGTAGTGCGTCCACATGGATGGTCTTTGGCACTCTTCAATGCTCGGTTTTGTGACACATGGTGCTTTTTTTTACTGGCATAAAGGTACTGACCCGTACTTGAGCCGTGCTGCAAAGACTAGCTAGTTATAGCATGGTTCCAGCTCACTTTGATTTTCCACTAAGGGTCGGCTTGGTAAAGGCCTTGCAAGGTTTGATGAACGATAGTGAGATAAAACCAAGGAGACACTTGTACACCGTGTGAACAGTAAATATCATGGTTTACTATATGCTAGCATCAAACACTAGTGGAATTAGCCTTTGCTGGCATAAATTTGCATTACGAGTCCATTCTGTTGAGCTGTATCATAATACTTTTTTACATGGGACATTAGAAATTTTCCGAAAAAAGTTCCAAGTTATCAGAAATGCATCAATACATTGCAATGTGCAACACTGCTAATAATGAATAATCTATAGAATATATAATTTTTTCCTTTCGATATTCCATTCGTAGGACACCAGCACCTTCATGAATTTTGACCAATCAGATGGTGGTGATGCAACAAACTGTGTTTGGTCACGCCATGTCAGCGTGGGTACAGCTTTGGTACGGCTTTTTGCTGGCAGTGAAAAAGTGCCATAACCGGTGTTATAGGAGGTCGACGTGTAACTGCAGACAATAGGGGGCGTGAGACACATCTGCACAGTGTGTGCACACACACATCCCAGCATACCATCCTTAATTGCTTTTGACTAACCTGTTTTTCAAGAGCTCTGCATTTCATTTACCAATGTTTTTTTTTTTTTTATTTTGTTCAGACAGACAAATTTTTTCTTTTGAACACACTGCTAAAACTACAGTGACACAGAATCTCTTGAACTTCAATTATTGTAAGAGGAACAATTTTTGTCAGCACCGAACAACAATACATTATCACAGTAAATACAGTATGTAACCATTTACATAGCGAGCTGTATGATAATTGTGCAGAAGAGGATCAGGGCCACCATGAAAATATTATTTGAATTCTGACTTTAGTCTCAGAATTCTGACTTTAGTCTAAGAATTCTGAGTTTAGAAAAAAAGTCAGAATTCTGACATTAAAGTCAGAATTCAAATAATATTTTCATGGTGACCCTGATCCTCTTCCGTATAATTGGGATAACAGCTGATTTGGTGTTTACAAACACCTCTGAAAGCCGCTTTGAGCCAGACGGCCTGCTGACCACAAAGGTCATATTCATTAAGTGCCCCTTGGTGGCGTGGCTGTTAAGGTGCTATGGTGCAGTTCACAGCCAGGATTCACCTGTATGGGAAGCCCTGGATTGCAGTGTCTCCTGCTTTATTTGTAGTGCTTGATCTGTGTCATGTTTAGTAAATATTTAAGCTCTCTGCAGTGTTAAAATGTGCCACGTGAGAGTGTATGCGCTGGTCCACTTTCCTTCGTTTACATTGGCCTGCTTTCGTAAACTTGACTTATGCCAGATTCCTGAAGGTCAGTTCTTAGCCCGGTATCATGTGGTGTCTGCCTGATGGCTGACATTGAACCGGAGCATGTTTCCGGCGGTGAAACGGGTCACTCTGGGTATCTTGCCAGGGGTAGAAACATCACCAGCTCCTCATGATCGTCTGCAGTGTGCTCAGCAATCTGTATCGGTGGAACACTTTTAAAAACCTGTTCTCTCTGTTCACGTCTGAGTGCTTAAGCCACGCACTCAGGTGCCGCTTCCTAGAGTGGAGGACCCTTGTGGTCTTGTTTTCTCGGTGCTAAACAGCTTCCTCCAGAACTGCCGGCCGTCCAAGCAGAAGCCCGCTGGATCCTCGGAGCTGTCTAGGTCTGATTCATAACGGACCTCCTCTGGGGCGCAAAGTTTGTCAAATCTGCCGCGTTAGATTCAGAGAAATAACGAATGCTGGGAGATCTCTGCACACTTACCGGTATGCTGACTGGCAAAATCTTATCCGCTTTCTGCTTTTAAATCTATCAGCTGTAATTTGGAAATCACTGCGGCCGTGGAAAGCAAACGGAATATGCGATGAGAACCTCGTCCGCGGAATGCCGCTCTTGTGAAGCGGAGCCGGAACCTGCCGCTTCTGCAGTGCCGAGTTTAACCCCAAACTTTTACAAACGTTCTTCAGACAAAGGGCGTGTAAAGGATTCGGCTTCTCCAGCAAAAAGAATTTTAAGAGGACTTTTAACCAGCGGCGCTTAATCTTGCGGCATCCTGCCAAGGTTTTCACTCCTCTGTCCTCCTTTGATGGTCGTTTTATTTTTATTCTTTTTGAACCAAAATAAGTTGAAGACATTTTCCAGTGGGGTTGTCATGCATTTTGGACCTGAATTTTTATAAGTGTAAAGCCCAGAGAGACAGTGTGGGTAGCATATTTTTATAATATTTATGTATTTTAAGGGCAGTTCACAAAAAATATAAGTGAAGGTGCCTGGTTTATTAGTTAATTTATTATTACTGATGGCTTTTTTGTCAGTCTTTGGTTATAGTGATGTTTGTTCTGTGTTCAGGCTCCTGGTTAAATGTCCCACTCTCTGCGGTGTTCAGCTCCAGCCTGCCCAGCAGCGGCGCTAAGAGATGATGTCATTCTGCGATACCGATTACAGGCCCTCCATTTTGCTCTTCATTTGACACCTCCCAGGAACTCATCGGCGTTATAAATACAGTGTAGGCCCCACATTTCCCGGTTGAGGGAGGGTTGTGGTTAATAGATACTTGTAGTGACTTTGTGATAGGTAGATAGGTAGACATATATATAGATATAGATCGATTGATGGGTAGGTAGGTAGATAGATAGTTAGATGGATAAATATTGATAGATGGATGGATAGATAGGTCATTGAAACCCTGTATACTCTCAGCGCAGAATTTTAACTCTGTGACAAGGATAAAATGTTCTTATCTGCCTTTGGGAACCATAAAAGTTACTGTCAGTTTCTGGATTAAAAAAAAAATATCCAAGTCACTTTAGGGACCATTAGTCAGCCAGCATGTCTGAAACCGTTATGGAAGTGGGCACCAAAGGGGAGCTCTCAGGAAGTTTCTGCGCTCAGGTTTCCCAGCGAGCACCACTAACTCTGCAGTCGGAATCAGAAGGCGTGTCATGACTCCCGGACACTCCTGTCACGGAAAACTGGGCCTGCAGGCTCAGGGAGCGGGGGAAGCTGCCGGAAAGCCATGGGTGCTTGGCGAGGCCTGCAGAGCTCAGACGCATCAGTCAGCAGTATAAGGAGCTCTGCGTAAAACAGACCTGTGGGGGGGGGGGGAAGCAGAGTAAGAGGGATTTTGGGGAAAATGAACCTTCTCATGGTCTGACTGCAGGTTGCCGGACCGCACGAGAGCGGCCGGTCTAAGGGATGCTGTGGAAGGTTTGGTGGCCAGATGAGACCAAGATGGAGCTGATGCTGGACTCCTGCCGGAAAGTGTGGCTGCTACACAATATCAACATGTGGAGTCCGAACCTTTGCACCAGTAGGATATTTTAGGTTAAGGTTTTTGGTGTTTGCTGGTATAGCCTGTTTCGTCTTTAGTTTCCTATTTGAGCTTGCAAGTTTGCAGTAAGAGTAGATTAGAGGAAGTATCGTGCAATGCAGATTTTTAGAATTTATTGCCCTTCCCGTGTACGCTCCAGAGCGCTTACATCTACCAACGAGAACAGCATCATAAAGTTATATAACATCTCATCTTACACAGTAGTGAAAATCTGAGCACTGAAGCCTGAAAGTCAGTCACATGAAGGGAGTGGACATTTGGCATGGAAGCCTGTAGATGAGACCTTTGGGGTAACAAAGGCAAAGCACTGTGTAGGTGTGAGACTGGAGCCCAGTGATTGGCTGGTCCACAGTGAAGCCAGCAGTGGTCCTGGTGACAATAGAGTTCTTCTCTTGCCATTGCATGACAATCTCGTCCCTCCAGCCCCATTTCTTGCTCCTCCCCCAGGTGCCATTTTAGCCTGGGTGTTAAGGTTTTTGCCTCACCTATGATTTGGACTCTGCCGGTTTGTCCCGCTCCTCTTGGTCCCTAGGGGACGGCGCTCATTTTCGTCGTCACCTGTGCATTGTGTTTTCTGATTTTGGGCACTGCTTGGCCACGCCCGCCGCCCGCCGCCCGCTCCTCATTGTCCCTGTTAATAACCCATTCAGCTTGCCGGCGTATTCTCCCAGTCTTGGCCTCCTTTTTAATCTATAATTGAATCCCCCTTTCCCCCCGAGACACTGCCTGTTATACGTTGATTTTTTTTCTTTTTCCCTTCTTTCTGTTTGTTTGTTTGTTTATTTATTAAAATTTTTTTGCTTTCTTGTGCACATCATTGAAATGTGGCTCTGGGCTGTACTGGGGGGGGGGCTGACTCCAGTGCCGATGTGGATTCCCGAATCATTAAATGGTCCTCAGCATCGAGCGTGGCGATACGGACCTGAGATGCGGCGAGGAGTTTGTCTTTGCGACAAACAGCAAGCTGATCTGCTTGTTGCACTTTCCTCAGTCGCCTCTAGGGGGCGTCGGTCTTCGTCACTCGCGTCCGTTCGCGTGCACGCTGCTGAGTTGGCATGCCGTCACTGCTGTACCAAGTGGCAGCTTGTGATACCCCCCTGGCTGAAGCGTTTCACACAAAGGGCGTCGCTCTGACTGCTCTCTGTCAGCAGAAGGCAGGTGCCGTCGCTTTGCACGCCCTGAGAAGGCACTGCTGCGTGTTCTGGCTCAGGCCGTTGGGTTAGCTCGCTGACTAAAGGCATGTTCCTCAGCCAATCGGGTCAGATACTCCCCCCCCCTCCCCCCAGGGGAAGGCTGAATGCTGCTTTGTTCTGGATTAATGGATTATGCTTGTTTTTCCCCACTGCTCAGGGAGTACCTGGAATCTCTGAAGGTTTTGTTAAATTTCTCTCTTTCCCAGTTGTTGCACCCATATATTTCATACAAATCACAACCCCTTACACACACACAATCACTTTCCCCGGGTCATCGATCTAGCAACCAGAGACACTTAATGGCCAAATGAAGATTTAGCGCTGATTAGTTTCCATATTTCATGAAGTGTCTTCAGGACTCCAGTCCCCGGAGTTCATCTTAATATGACCTGTTCTGCTGCAAGGTGCTTCTGCTGAATTATAGATGGTTGTTGTTTTTGTTGGGTCTCTGTGCTGCTGTCTTGCCGTGAGCACTGGCTGTTTTCTGATTGGCCTCCTCACCCTCCCTCTTGTGCCCCCCAGGTGAAATCAGTTAAAACTGGTTCTGTGTGCTGGACCATAGGCTGCTGTCTCTCCTACTTCTACATGGTGAGTACCAGCTCTCAGATTCCCACCCTGCCGCCGTTACATCTTTAGGGTGTGATGGCGGGGAGATGCCAGAATGGACTCTGTGATTATGGTCGCTCAGCCCTGACAGATGACACTGGTTAAAACTAGATTTGCTTGACTTTTACTAAACAAGATGGAAACTACAGAGCGATGTCTGGCTCGGACAGAAACGAACTGTGCAGAGCTGCCATATCGCAGTGGCGTCGGAGAGCGGGCATTTTACACCTAATTGGAAGTGACTGGAAGAGCCTGGCTGTGAAATGGGACACCCCTCCACCCCCTCCCCAGAGGCACGGAGCGGCTCGTTAGTGAGACGCGCGAGAGTAAACAGGCGCGCAAGGGCCGCTATCACTCATGGCCGCTCACCCGGGCTTGGGGCGGGGGTGGGGGCATTGGGAACAGTTCTACGCTAATGACTGTTAGCGTTTTGAGACCAGTGAGCTTCCTGTTGAGAAAGCAAATGTGATTAAAAAAATGAATGTCCTCCACCATTCTCCTCCCACCGCACGATGATTCATGCCACCTCTGGTGGAGGCTTACGGCACCTTCTGCCCAGCATGTGGGCTGCCGTCGCCCCCTGGTGGCCACCTTCTGCTTTTCTCTTCTCTTGCATAGATTATGTAAAAAGTGCCCGCTGGGTTTGCTTTAGACTTTGTGATGGGGCGAACAAAATCGATTGGCCCATGTATTATAGCTCCGTAAGGACTAGTGCGAACCATTTGCCCTGTAAACGCTCTTAAACTATTCTACTTGAAGGCTGTGTTGGGAACATGGTGCAGTAATTCTCATGTGGAGCTGGGCGTGTTCTTTGTTAAGGTCTATCCTTTTCCACGTGTGCGTTTTTAATGTCGAGTCGCGCGTCATTGGAGAAGAGGCAGATGTTCCTTGCTGCCGCCATTAAACTCTGGGGATATCTTAGCCTTTCTATAAGAGTTGTGGTGCCCCCATTTGACCTGCAGAGCGGCACTCTAATACGTTGGGATTTCAGGCAGTGAATAGTGAGGGCGAGTCCTCGAGGCATCGTTTGCAGGAGTGGCATGAAGAGACCTGAGCCGACTGCCCCTGGGGAGTTATGATGAGACAGCGAGACTGGGATGGAGAGAGTGTGATTCGGCCCCTAGGGAGGAAAGAAGCGACAGTCGGGCTTGTTATGATGACAGTGGTGAAGACATTTTACTTTGCCCTGCATTCTGCTTCACCAAACGGTGCCTGCTGGTGGTGGTGGGGGGTGGGGCGGCGGGGGGGTATCATCAGCAAACTGGCTCAGATACCCCTTTTAAAGAACCATGAGCTCACAAGCTCAGAGTTAGCACCAGTTGCCCACATATATGTCCAGCGCTGGCTAATTAGCACAGATTCTGCAGCAGATATTGCGTGACAGACAGCGGTTTGTGATTTATTTATTTTTCTCCTTTAGTTTTTTTTTTTTCTTTCATGTTCCGTGTCTGTTACTGCTACGCTCTCATCCGTGAGACGACACGATCACCGTGTTTGCATCCGCAGGTGTCCGCGTGGGGGGGCTACGTCTTCATCATCAACCTGATCCCGCTCCACGTCTTCGTACTACTGCTAATGCAGCGCTTCAGCAGGAGAGTCTACATCGGTGAGTGATAAGTGCTCTAATCCTCCAATCACAGCCCTGCGTGTAATTTCCTTTGCACTCGGGGTGTGTTTCTGTGCTTGGACCTGGTATTTATAATTAACCATTTTTAATGAGGGAGTGCTCAGTGTGTTGTTTGGTGGCCTGCAGGGTTGTGGGTTCGATTCCCACCCTGTGACGGCCAGGGGTCCCTCTATTATCTCTTCATGCCTTCTGCTTCTTGGAATGGCCTCCTGCCTCTCCGTGGCCCTGCATTGCAGGAAAAAAAATCATGCACTAACCAGATCAGACTGGAAAATTGAAATGACTGCGACAGCTATAGGCTTGGCGAGTGTGACTGGATAATGCAGTCATCTAAAGTAACAGAAGTTGCTTACACACGCCCCCAGCGCTTCCTGAGTAAGAGAACAGTCTGTGTTTGCCATTCAAGTCGGAGTCATTTCAGTCTTGTTTAATTTTCTTTATTCCAACACGTTACACTACAAGAGTTGAGCTCTGTGTGGCAACTAATAAGTATGTGTCAGTGAAGCGGGGAGCTGATCGAGGCCTGCGGGTGTGTGCCGGTGAAGCAGGGCAGCTGAACGAGGCCTGCGGGTGTGTGTCGGTGAAGCAGGGCAGCTGAACGAGGCCTGCGGGTGTGTGTCGGTGAAGCAGGGCAGCTGAACGAGGCCTGCGGTTGTGTGTCGGTGAAGCAGGTGCAGCTTGTGTTTTAATGGTCTTTACACAAACCAAAGTGTTTTCTGAAACGAAGGAGAAATCCCACAAGTCATATCATAGGCAGGAGGCTGCCCTGTGGTACAAACTGCGGGTGGGTTTCACCTCCTCAGCCTGCGACACTCTGACATGTTTGGTGTTCCCGTTTCGGGGAGACTGATATCGGCTCACTTTTTCATAATGACACAGAACAAACTGCCAGTTCTTAAATCTGGTCCAAGGGCACCCACATGTTTTTGCTCCCTGCTAGCTCCTGGAGGGAGCAAAAATATGGTCTGTCGGGCAGGAAACAGGGAGGGAGTATAAACATGGACCGTCTGCGGGTCCCTGAGGACTGGGTTGGGAATTACTGCTCTAGATAAACGGGTCATCCAGCCGTAGCCATGACGATAGTATATTAAATGTACAGGTACCCACTGATCTGCAAATGAATTGAAAAATGACATTCTTTGACAGCTATATATTATATCTGGTTCACAAGGAGTAATATATTCCCAGCCTGTTCCTAAGAGAATCAAATTATAATCTGCATGAACGTGGAGTGCTGCTGCAGTTCATTGTGAGGCAGGCAAGGCTCTCAGAAACCCCCGGGGGTATATTATATTTGGTCTTTGATTAAAAAGGTCACTCGCATTCAAAATGTCCCGTCAGTCATGCGCAGGTGAAAGTCTGAAAGCCGTGAAAATGATAGACATGAGGTTACTGACCTCTAACACACAGGAGATGCATAAAAATTAATAGGAAAAAAAAAACAGTGGAAAGTATGACTTTTCTGCATTTCGTCTGGGCATCTCGGGCCTCTCGAAAGTTATCTCTCTGGCAGGTAAAGGATGTAGGGTTTCGGCACCAATGTTTACCAACAGATCGTATGAGGACGAAAAGGTGGTGGTTTGCAAACTTCAAAATAAGCTGGCTATTTTTCTGTTTTAATTTCTGTGAAGGTTTTCACAAATACAACTACCTGCTCTGAAGGGCAGTAAACCCAAAATAAAAGCTCACCGATTCACTGAGGAGTGCTGGTCTGTTGGGTGGAACAAGCGTGTTACACGCCCATAAAGCGAAAGCCAGCTCCCTGAATGTGACCGTTTGAGTTGCAGAAGTATGAAGGCTTGTTTTCAAAGGAGCCATGTTTCTACTGTGAAATACGGGGAGACGGATTTTTGCCTGGAATCATTTGGCATCCCCCGGTGCCGCTCCTTGCTCATCTGAATGTTATCATGAACCCATGTGGGGTCTGTCATCCCTGTTCCTCTGCCTGGAGGCAGGACATTCCTGGCAAGGTGGTGATCTCGGGCGTTGTCATGGGAAAGCAATGCTTCCCTTGGTAAAATTTCTCAGCGGTGGCCTGCCACACCAAAATCTTTGCTGCCATGGAAAAAAAAACTCTGTCCAACCAATCATCTAATTCCTTGGTGATTCACTCGGAAGCCAGATTCCTGCCCTCACCCCCCGTGCACGGAATTCAGTTAACGACAGTAATAGACTATTACATTGTCATTTAGCAGACACTCTTATAAAGCTTTAATAAAATTAACTTACTTAGGTATTTTGTAAGGAACAGAAATACAGATGAGGTAGGTAAATGGAACAGGCATTTAGTTATTTGGGGGTGACGACGCATCTCTCTCCTTGTTCTTACACCCCATTTACACACTTATAGATCACTATTTTACCATTATGGTGCTGTGTAGTAATGGGAGCAAAATAGTGAAGTCTATGCTAATCTATCCCCTAGCAACATAGTGACATTAGCGGTACTTTCTGACACAGCTCCAGTGTGAATGCAGAACCGTAGCAGATTACCGTTACCGTGGCGGGGATGGGTGACTTCTCCCCCTTTATTCACCAAATTTATATCAGCTGGGCGTACATAACGCTTATGATTTTATTTATCCATGTTGTGTTTACCCGATACATCAATGGATTTCATATGTGCAAGGGGGTCACGCACCAGGAGAAACTCTCAAACCCTCTAAATTCAGTCGCATGCACGGTTGGGCTGTTCAGTTACGTTGGAAAGGTTGATTGACCACAACCCCAGCACTGAGCAGTCAATGGGATCGATCCCTCAAACCCAAGTCTCTTTTCACCTTCACCTGTTGTTCCTTTAGCTGTGGCTGATTTTCTGTGGCCTCCTGAACCTTCGTGCACCAGGCCTGTCAGTCAGCAGCTGCTGTATCAAGCTCCTGCAAAAAATGTATTTATTTTTTTCAGTAGCTCTGTCAGTTCATCTTAGCCTTTGCTGCCCCCCGTCTGCTGCCTGCCGACTTTGCCGGTGACTCCCGTCTCTGCAGTTTGTGACCAGCTCCTTTTGGCCTTCGTGTGTGTTTGTGGTTCCTCTGCCTAGCAGCACTCATTCCCATCCTATGACAGCTGTACGGTTGTTATGTTTCATCCGCCCCCCCGTTATGTCACTTTGAATGAAAACATCTGCTGAATAACTAAATGTAAAATGCAAATTTTAACTTGTGGTCCCCAAGCAGAACACCTGAATATTATTCGAAGACCCTCTTCAAGGAATGATTTCCTCTCAGAGATGAATGAACTATATGAAACGGTCCAGAAGATGAATTCTGTTATCCCTGCCCAGGAGAAATACTGACAAATACAAAATAATAAGAGCAAACGTGTGACTTTATTTTGTGTTGCCATAAAATCATTCAAGCATAGCAATTTTCCAAAACTTTTCATAGGTAAGCTGAGTATATATTGAGTCTGATATGATCTTAAGCATTAGGTGCCATGTCTTCTGGGAGCTTCACTTATAAGTGGTAACTGATCTGATGCCTTTTAGAGGGGGCCGACCATGACAGTCCAGGCTGCAACATAACAGCTATGCTGTCCTCTTTAGGGAGACCCTGTTGAGCTCAAAAATGTCATTGTTGATTTTCTGAGTGTTTATGAATTGGAAAAATAGTGTATTAAAATGTAAAGTTAGCAATAGAGGATGGTGATGTGACTAATGCACATCACACACTCTACCCCCTAGGTCTTAATGTGCACATACGTTCTGGGTTAAGCTAATAAGAATCAGTGGCATGACCAGTGTCGGTGTGGCTTTGTTTGCCCCGCCCATCTCTGGTTTTGCAGCTTTTCCTCCCATCTTTTATGCTGTCGTAGGTCTCTTTGCTTTGTAGTGGGTCATTGGCTCCCAGGTCACAGGAGACCTTCGACATTTTTGTTTTATGAATGAGGCCAATTCACCCATGCATGAATTGTGTGAAACTTTTGTGTATTTGTAGTCTAACTTAATTATTAAAGCTGTTAATTGGAGGCATGAATGGAAAAATCCCCAAAAGTTTTCCTACTACTGCTCATGCCAACTTTATTTATGAAGCACTTCATAAATACAAAACATCATACATTGACGAAAGTGCTGTACAACACAGAAACCAATGATCACATCTGAAGATATGAGACAAGATATCAGGTCGATGAGACTGTTACTGTCATTGTATGTTACAGTGAAGTTTTGTGAGACAACTGACAGGCAGAAAACGAGGTACGAAGATGAATATACAAAAAACAAAACTCAAGACGGAAGCATTCCTGACAATATACAGTATAAAAGCACTCAAGGGCACATTTGCAAAAAGAGTATGGTGAGAATAGGTTGTATAATCAAAGTGAAATTAGATTAATGTATTGTTGCTGCATTGAAACAATGCAGTGTGTTTTCTATACATTTCTGTAAGTAGTATTTATGGGTGAAAATGTCAAGGTGCATTTGCAGCGGTGGGAGTGGGAGAGGCTGACTGGAACCAGCTTTGCAGTCCTCAGCAGCTCTGGGGGCTCAGGAGATGGAAACTGCTAAACTATTGTGAGCTTTCATTGTTTGGTATCTCTTCCCTGATGGCAAGGAGACAGACAGACAGACAGACAGACAGACTGTGTTCTGGGTGTGTTGGGTCCTTGCTGATGTTGTTAGCCGTCTTGCACAGACCAAATTCAGAAGCTCTGTTCCTATGGCCCTAATGTGTCCTGGGTGATCTGATCACAAGTGGACAGTGCTAAATACAGGTGTGAACGCATCAAGACCCGACTGCTCAAACCACCAGTGGCGTGTCAGTGTTCAGTATGAGGATGCAGGAGGTATGATTTCCTGTGCTGTCATATTGTGGTTGGCTGGTGAGGAAATACAGAATCCGTGAGGCGTGTGAAGTGTCTAAACCGAGGCTGCTGTGTTTCTGTATCAGCTTATGGGCTATTCCTGTATTTAAAGTAGAGCTAAAGTCTATGAATAGCATCCTTATGTATGTGGGACAGCTGCATGAAGTGCAATTGAGACTGCATCCCTTGTTGATCTGCTTGCTTCGTAAGCAAACTTCTGACTGTCCAGATTGATGGGATGATGGTCTTGATGTAAGGTAGTATGGCCCTGTATCAGCATGCATCCTGGGTGATCCAATCAGAAATGGGCAGCGCTAAATACGGCCATTCACATCTGACATTAACGTGCGTCTCCGCATGGGTCTCCGCCGACCGCTTATGATTGCATCTCACTTTCCTGAAGCTTTTTTTTTTGTTTTTTGTTTTTTTTTTTTAAAAAAAAGCACGTAAATCACGTATGCAGAATCTGCCAAACATTAAAAGGAGGAGAAATCAAAAGCTATTGGTACATTCCAGGGTAAACAAACTGCCTAAGATTTTTATAATGAACGCCATAATGCTCAAAATTAAATATGTTTATCTTCTATGTATAATCTTTAAATTTATTTCGTAATAACGTTGTGATTTTCATTCGACAGTCATTATAAAATATTTCACATAATGCAAATTGTATTTCTTAATTCAAACTATATTTCACAATAAAGTCAAAGTTCTCACATTGTAGGCATGCATTTTTATACATGATACAAATATACTTGTTAACCTAAGTACTAAAAGATCTTTTTAATAATTTTCTATTCACGGGCAAAGTGTTTAGTCTGCTGTGCATTATGTTGGTTATCATATGATATTTCGGCTTTTAATCATAACCAATGAAGCTCAAAATTTGTGAAAATTTCAGACGTTTATTGTTTTGTCTGACTCGCTGAATTGTGTGTTTGACTTGCAGCAAGTTAAGTAAAAGAAGCAAAGTATTCAGGACTGGAGTGGGACTGAATTTCTGACTGGCAGTTCAAGCCCCCGGGCAAAAGCCCCCAAAATAAAACTATATAAACAATTACAATGTTATATGCTTTAATTAATATGTCCATTGTCCAGGCTATTGAATACACATTCTTATCTACACGCTTTAATTTGTCATTCATTTGATTATTACTGGCATGCGTCACCAATATGAAAGCGTGGAGCAGCTTTGACATAAATAAGGAAGCTTCATGAAGGTGCGCATCAAATATAAAATCTGTGCAAATTTCAAAACATCTTTAATAAATCACTTCTTACACAATTTATTTTCCCCTGAATTTGTACGGAACATTAATGATGCGCACGTTGACAATGTTTCCATGCAAATGGGTTGCGACAGTTTCATATTAAACCAACTTCCCAGTAGATTCAAACTTATTTTTTGGTAGTGTAGGGAAGAAGATGCGTTGTTCGCTATGCAATTTAATACACAGTGGCTTATTCTGCACTGACAAACATTCTGACATAACTCATATGTCAAATTCCATTCCTGTGTTTAATTTGTATGTATGTCCTTACGCCCACATGAGGATGTCAGCTGAGTAGGCGGTCCTTCAATGCGGGCTAGGACACATTCACATTTCTATAAGAATGTGGCCATATGCGTCCCCGACAACCTCCGAATGTGGTTTGAGCGACTGGGTCTCAATGCGTTTTCAGTGCGTCTTGGGTGCGTTCATACCAGTCTTTAGCGCTGTCCACATGTGAACGGATCACCCAGGATGCATGTTAATACCAGGTGTGAACAGGGCCTATGAGTCTCTCTAAGCACTTCACAACAACTAGGGTTAAGGCAACTGGGTGGTTGTCATTCAAGGTACTGTACTGTCGACTTTCTGCGTACAAGAATGATGGTAGTAGATCTCGGACAGGTGGGGACAGCAGCTTGTTGGTGGGAGATCTGGAAAATGCTGGCAAGCAGCCCTGCTAGCTGATTAGCACAAACTTTCAGTGTGCGGCCTGAGACTTTGCCTGGGCCTGTGGCTTTGCTGGTCTTTCCTTTTATCAGAGTGGTTCCCTACCTGCTGGCGCTGTAAAAGGCAAAAAGAGTCAACAATAAAACAAAAATAAAACAGACAATAACTACAAACAATATTCTAAAAATCAAAGCAATTTGAAAGCCATGGAATAAAAATGTGTGTAATGCAAGTGCAGCCCTACTGTGAAGAGGCTTTCAAAGCTTAGCTGCTGACTGTTAAAATCTGCATGTGCATGTGGGGAATCATGGAGTTTTGAGGAATTACAAAGCTGAGCTCCTCCCTCTTCTTCCTCCAGCATATAGCACCTTCTACATCGTGGGCCTGGTCCTCTCCATGCAGATCCCCTTTGTGGGCTTCCAGCCAATCAGAACCAGCGAGCACATGGCGGCTGCAGGTACGTCCCTAAGATGGTTGCATCCGCATCCGACGGCTCTGCTGGTCACCCGGGTAATCTGTGCATGTGATCCAGCAAATGTACGTGAAATGTGATTGGACGTTGCCTGTTCACATGTTGTCCATTACCCATCACCCTCCTCTGCCCTGAGACACGACGGGTGCCCATTTACCCTGAGTTTGCACCATTGCCCCCCCCCCCCCCCCCGAGAACCCGCGGGGGCCCCTTTTCCCCGGGGTTTCCCCCTTTCCCCCCCCCCCCCCCCAGGTGTGTTTGCGCTGCTCCAGGCCTACGCCTTCCTGCAGTACCTGAAGGACCGGCTCACCAGGCAGGAGTTTCAGACCCTCTTCTTCCTGGGGGTGTCGCTGGCAGCTGGCGCGGTCTTCCTCACAGTCATATACCTGACCTACACTGGTGAGCTGGGCTGTGAAAATACCTGCTATACCGTGGCTGCGTATCCATGGCTGTGTGCCTGTTGGTCATGCTTGTGACATGTCCCTTTAGGCTACATCGCCCCGTGGAGCGGACGCTTCTACTCACTATGGGACACGGGGTAAGTGTGGTATGCAGTGGCTTCCGCATGCCCGCCACCCCCTGCTCTCCTCCCCCCCTAAAACCCCTTCCTCTTCCCCTCCTAAAACCCCTTCCTCTTCCCCTCCTAAAACCCCTTCCTCTTCCCCTCCTAAAACCCCTGCCTCTTCCTGGTTTTCCTCCCCACACACTTTATTTCTGTGAGGAGCAGTTCAGGGATCGCAAGAGGATGTTCCAAGATCTGCTGAGTATAACCCATAAGGGCTCTGCTTTGCGCTTTAATCAGCGCAATTTGTCTTTTATACGTGCTGAGGGCCCGGCGGCTGCTCTGGCCGCGGTCGCTGTGTCCCGCCCCCGCGTGTGGGAATGCGTGCACTAGCAGGAAACATCACACGGGCCGCATCTGTGAGAGCAAAGGACCATTGGCATCAGAAACAGCGTGTGAATATTTAATTCACCCCCCACCATCGTATCTGAGAGCTTAATCCTAGTACCTTTTACACAGGAGCCCCTGAGCTCTCCCATCGAATTATAAATATAGATTTAATGGCACTTTATCGCCCAGTGGTGAGGGTCTGCACCGACAGAGCCGTCAGTCTTGCTTCCACTTGTGGTTTGGCAGTAACTGATCTGACAGCTGTGGTTGTCGCCTTTGTCTTTCCTGCCCTCCTGCTGTACACTGGCCCCTCCCCCCTTGACATTTCATTGATTCTTCCACATGACTCTGCCCCTTCATCGATTGATTGGTCCCCCCAACTCTGTCCCTAGCTCTGCTTGTTCATCCTTGAAGCAGGGTGTGCTTTTTACATACATCACTCTGCTGTTCCCTTCGATTCCTGCACACCCCATAGGGGATGGTTGCCAAATACACATTCATAATTTGTTATATTTCTTGTCCATACAATTCCCAGTGAGTATTTCACTGTTGCCTGCAGTGTTATCCATCTTTCCATAACACTGAGTGGTCATGGGATACTGAGGATTAGAGACAGAGGAGGGCCAGGGGACAGTTTTTAATGTAAATGTTGGAAGGCAGTTGAAGAATTGAACGCCACAGGCAAACTTGTGCTGACTGAGCTCACACTGAAATCAGGAAAGTACTGATTTCTAGGGAGCATAAATGAGGCTTCTCACTTTTCCCCAGTGACTCAGCCTTGGCTCTTTTTTGACAGCACAAAGTTATCTTTGTTTTCAATGGACACTGTCTGGTGCAGAACCAAACTGAGAACCCAGTGCCCCAGGGAAAGTTTATGGTTGGCCCACTTTTGAAAAGTCATGCTGTTGTAAAATGTGTGGGTCCTTGCCTGCCCTCCAGGTACGCTAAGATCCACATTCCCATCATCGCGTCTGTGTCAGAGCACCAGCCCACCACCTGGGTCTCCTTCTTCTTCGACCTACACATCCTGGTGTGCACCTTCCCCGCTGGACTCTGGTTCTGCATCAAGAACATCAATGACGAGCGCGTCTTTGGTGAGCCACACATCCGCTCTGAACCAGTATTAAGGGTGATTCTGGTTTATGGTACCACTTTATTTAAAAATTCCAAGATTATGAGTCAAATGAATAACATGTATGACCTTTCTGGCTGTGGAGTTGCAGTATGATTAAAATCAGCTTTTAATGAAACAGAATTGTTATCCCTGTTACAGTATTTGTGATGCTAAGCACTAATATTTGTCATGAGGGCCTGGCTCCCAATCTCCGTTCTAGTTCATCGTAAAGGCGTCCTGTGGGGTTTATTCGGGACTCTGTACGTGCCAGTCAAGTCCTTCCATGCCAGACTCACTCAATAATGTCTTGGAGGACCTTGCTTTGTGCAAATGCAAATTACCGAAAGTTTAAAATCACGTGCCACACAAATACAGGCTGTAAGCTGGCAAATACCCACAATAGGCCAAGATATTTTTAGACAGATTTATCCTGTTATGGGTTATGTACAGGTACATTTTACAGTATTTTTCATCATGTATCAGTAACAGCCTATAATTTTCCATTGTTCTTTCAACATTTGAGGGGTATAAAAAGCATAATTTTCATTACTCCGTCATCCCTTGATGTGTATTTTTTTCATATCATCTCATGCAAATTAGGCTAAAACATAAAAACCCCTTTCATTCGAGAATGGACAGGGGTGTATTATAATATACAATACACTGTATTATTACTGTGTTTAATGTTGATAACATCTTTGTGTAATTTATCAATTAAATTTTGCTATGTGTCTGTACATGAGAATCACATTGTATATGGGGTCTGCGGATGTTTCAATATTGTCCACAGTTTTGGTCATATCCCTGCTGTACTTTCAAGTTTACTTGAAATAGTACTAACTTAAGTGTCACTTTTAAATATCTTTCGGGGGAAATTTCTATTGATCACACTTTAACAAAACTACACAATGAAACCAACACAGAACCAAGAAGCACTTGCCGCTAACCAGTAACTGCAAACCAGTAACTGTAGCCTGGTCAGGATTTTATCAGCGCACAGCCAGCTAATGTGTTGCGATGTGGCATGTGGGCTAACCAGGCTGTCTGCTCTCAAGAAAAAAAAGGAGCTGAACGTTCAGGTTGAATGTAAATAAATTTACTTTGCAAGTAATTCTGGGATTTCCCTTCATGTCCTTCATACTTTAGTATGGATATGAAATAGGTCTTAAATTGTAATCATAATGTTCTTAATTGTCTTAAAGTCTTAAATTTAACTTGTTGAAACTTGCAGCAACCCTGGAAAAGGGGTTTCCCCAGTCTGTTCCCACAATGAAGCAATGAAGCATAGAATTATCCAAAATATTGTCTTGGTATGCTAAGCATTAAGAGATCCCTTCACTGGAACTAATGGGCCTTGCCCAGCCCCTGAAAGACAACCCCATACCATTATCCCTCCTCCACCAAACTTTACAGCTGACACAGTAGTCAGGCAGGTACCGTTCTCCTGGCATCTCCCAAACCCGAGCTTGTCTCTCAGACTGGCAGACAGAGAAGTGTGACTCGTCACTCCACATTTTCCCTGCTCCAGAGTGGAAGCCTTACACTCCATCTGACGCCTGGTGATGCGCGGCTTGCATGCAGCTGCTCGGCCATGGAAGCCCCATTCCATGAAGCTCCCGGCGTAATAGTTTTTGTGCTGAGGTTAATGCCAGAGGAAGTTTGGAACTCCGCATGTATTCAGAGCGTTGGTGACTTTATACGCACAATGCACTTCGGCACTTGGTGACCCCGCTCCGTTACTTTACGTGGTCCTTCCACTTCCTGCCTCGTTCCTAAATGCTTCCACTTTACAATAATACCACTGGCCATGGAATATGTAGCAGGGAATAAATTTCAGAAACTGACTTATTGCAAAAGTGGCATCCTATGACAGCACCACGCTTGAATTTGCTTCAGTTCTTCAGAACAACCCGTTCTTGCGCAAATATTTGTAATCCTGACTGCATGGCTAGGTGCTTAATTTTATACACCTGTGGCATTGGGTCTGAATGACTAAGTGATGTGTCCATGTGTCCCAGTACCTCTGCCCATAGTGTGTGTGTGCATGTGGGCGTTCGTTCTGCTTACACTTGGGGTCTCGAACGGGCTGCTGTGCATTTGCAAGTTTCATGCCATGTCGCGGCCATTCTGATTGTGTCACTGGAAGACAACTGTTTCCCTAAAGTGAATGGGAGGCTCACTTATATTCTTATTCCCCATCTGTCGGGGGGGAAGCGCTTCCTCGGGAGATACTACGCTGTTCCTTAGAGGTAAACGTCATTTAGCTGTTAGCACGTCTTACGCCCGGCACATTTAAGCTGGTGCTAATTGTGGTGCTATAAATTAGCCAGTAGCGCCTCTCTGCGCGTCACCGTTTGCATAGCACTTTGGCACTAATAAAGTGTTGTGCAAAATGACGCAGCATTAGCCTTTACCTTGTAGTGAACCGATGCCTTCGTGGAGCAGCAGCCCTGATCTGCAGGCTGCTTCTGAACCGCGGTCCTGTAGAATTTCACTCTGTCGTACCGTAACGCAAAGGCCTGTTTTCCATTTAACCTTTTTAAAAAATTAAATAAGCATTGGATTGCCATTTCATGTTTTTCTTTTGTTTCCTGCCACCTTCATAAATAAAATATAACTGCAAAGCCAGTAAGCTTTTAATTGGTTAATTGTAGCCAAGGTCTTGCTTATTCGTGTATTTTTGAATGCCATAGAAACTAAAGCTGTGTGAACCAGCAGGGTAGTTTGGCTGTTTCCTGGTGTGGGGGGGCGGGGGGGGCGGGCTTGTAGTGTGTCGCTGATTTATTGGCTTATACACAATATAGGTTTACTGCATATCACGAAATGGAGCTTTGCGACTATCACCACCTTCTATTCTATATTTACTGTTGGCTTATGCATCAGTCGACAGCTCTGAGTTGACCTACTTAAGTGTTAAAGTGGCTGTTTTGAAGCTGGCATAAAAAAATTGGCCACTGAGAGCAAAGCCTTATGATGCCAAGATGCAGCTTCCATAATTGGCTTAATTATCTCCATCATTACCAGAGTTAAAGGTTATTTCAGAGGCCCTTTAAGTTTAGCAATGTGAATATTACACCTTCCTGTGGGTGTTTAGATTTCTTTTGCTTTGCTGCACCCTAGTGTTGACGTATGTAAACTGCAGCGCTAACGGTGCCGCACTCCTCTCTCTCTCTGCTGCCCCCTAGTGGCCCTATACGCCATCAGCGCCGTGTACTTCGCCGGCGTCATGGTGCGGCTCATGCTGACACTGACGCCAGTGGTGTGCATGCTGTCGGCCATCGCCTTCTCCAGCGTCTTCGAGCACTACCTGGGCGACGACCAGAAGCGGGAGAGCCCACCAGCCGAAGACAGCAGCGACGAGGACGACAAGCGGAGCTCGGGGAATCTTTACGATAAGGTGTGCGCCGCTGCACTCACGTCTGCCCGTTAATGAGAGATGAGTTCGGTCTCACTTTGACAACAGTGTAATAGGTGAGTCTGATCTCTCTCTCAGTCTGAGAGCTGGATTCTCTCATAGTCTGGATCCCTCCCCCACTCAGCACAGCTGCCCACTGCCTGATGTTCCATAAAAATATTGCTATTATATAAAATAATATTGGAAATATTGCTGTTGTGCAGCATACCACCCCATATCCCTCTCCCGCTAGGCAGTATCGCATCTAAATGCAGATTGCTTCTTTGGCCCGACACCAGCCAGACTGAATGTTTTACCATGAACCAGTGGAGGCCGTTGATTCGTGCTTCGTTCTGCTGGCTGTTTGATCTGTGTTTTAGTGCTCCGTGGGTTTTTTGTGGATATGAAAAGATAATCCATTAGAGCAGACAACTGTCTGTTACTGGGCGTGTTACCACACAAAGTGTATTAATATACAGACTCGCTGAGCTGGGCTCACCTCTACACTGCTGACCTCTATGCCAGCTTCCCTAATGGTAGCATCCATTCAGCTTGCTATGCTTGATTGTCTTAGAGGGACTGTTGTGGTTCTGTTCAGGATGTTGGTGAGTGCAGATGACATGCAAAGTTTGTGTGACTAATACTTTAAAATGCGGCTCAACACTGTACAAGCAGGAGCTAGGACTGGAGCTTGTGTGTTAGTGGATGGTCTCACTGCTGCCCCCTAGCCTTTACGGGGGGGTGGTGCAACCAGAATAGTGAGACACACAGTGTGTAGGATATGGAATCTGGGTTGACTGGTACGCAGAGTGTGTGAGATTCCCATCCTGGGGACAGGTGTGTTTATTTTGGCCGCTGCTGTCCCCGCAGGCGGGCAAGGTGCGTAAGCACGTGTCAGAGCAGGAGAAGGCCGAGGAGGGCCTGGGCCCCAACATCAAGAGCATCGTGACCATGCTGATGCTGATGCTGCTCATGATGTTTGCTGTGCACTGCACCTGGGTCACCAGCAACGCCTACTCCAGCCCCAGCGTGGTGCTGGCCTCCTACAACAACGACGGGTAGGGCAGGGGGTCACGTCCCACAGAGAGGAGCTCATGTGATCTAATCCCTCATTTGTCATAATGCAAGTCTTACAGTTGATTTACTGCTGAGAAACGCAGGTGGGATCACAGGATCCGCAAGTCTGAAAGTCAGAGGTCGGTGTGAATCCCTGCTTGTGTGACCTTTGACCCCCCCTCCCAGCACACGTAACATCCTGGACGACTTCCGCGAGGCGTACTACTGGCTGCGGCAGAACACGGACGAGCGTGCACGAGTCATGTCCTGGTGGGATTATGGGTACCAGATCGCCGGCATGGCGAACCGCACCACGCTGGTGGACAACAACACGTGGAACAACAGCCACATTGCGCTGGTGAGCGGCCGGTGGCCGGGCCTGGGCTGCCAGACTCTGTTTATGAAACTTAGATATGTTTTTTCATAATCTTTATTAATAATGTACCTGGCATTTTTGAGCATGTTTTAATGCTGTATACTATAAATATTTTAAAAGGGTTACTTCTTTTCAGAAGTTTATTAATTACCAACAGCGAAATTCAAACTGACAGTGATTCACCCTGGATGGTGTCTGGTGTAGGACAGCCTGCTCCTGTATGCAGTCCTGCTCTTCACTTCTCTTCAAAGCTAGAAAACCTTCATGAAGCTTCCTGTTTGAAGTCCTGGCTGCCGGGTCCCCCTCAGGTCTCCTTCCTGTCCAGTGACTGGAGCACAGGGGGACTGCGGCATTCTGTCCTGCCAGGGCCCAGTGTCTTGTTGACTTTGACTTGGATGTGGGAGATGAGAATCATCTAACCGTATTCAGACAGATCTGTCTACCTTCCACGGAAGCTTCTCAATCTCGTTTCTTCAGAAGACTCCCCCTGCTCGCTCTTGTTAACATTCACATAGACTACAGTGAATTTAACCGTTTCACATTTCAGGTGAGAGCCAGGTGGTTTCAGGGTCACCTCTGAACATGTGTGTCTGTAACGCCTCAGGTGGGTAAGGCCATGTCGTCCAATGAGAGCGCCGCCTACGAGATCATGCAGAGCCTGGATGTGGATTACGTGCTGATCATCTTCGGGGGCGTGATTGGCTACTCTGGGGATGACATCAACAAGTTCCTGTGGATGGTCAGGATAGCAGAGGGCGAGCATCCCAAGGATATCCGGGTGAGAGGTCCAACAGCCTGCCCCAAGGAACTGACAGTCCCCTGTGCAGATAGTTTGTTTATACACACACACATACCATCCTCTACCAGCTGGAGAAAAACACATTCAACAATGGATTAGCCTTTTGGTTTATTAATCAAAAAGAAAATGTACAATCTGTCTGCTGAGCTACGCTGCCAGGATTTTGTTGCCGAGTTTGAACATGGTTTTTCATATCATCAAAGCGGTGCTGTTATCGCTAGGCTTAGGATGACTGGTCCTGAGACAGTGCAGTGCGTTTTTGGGTGGGGGGAATATGGTTTATAAAGCCATCGATTCTTCATGCTTGTCAAAGCTGCTGGTGCTGTACCGTTCCTGCCCTGGTCTGAAGCTGGCAGGCAAAGCTCAGTTCCAACACTGGCCTGGGGGTGGCAGTCTGGAGCTCACAGCATCGTAATCTTGACTGGACCCCTCCCTCCATGTCCCCCAGGAAACGGACTACTTCACCCCCCAGGGAGAGTTCCGCGTGGACAAGGCCGGCTCCCCGACTCTGCTCAACTGTCTGATGTACAAGATGTCCTACTATCGCTTTGGTGAGATGCAGGTGAGGCCCCATCAGCTCGAATGGATGCTTTGAGTCAAAGAAATATTTTACATTTCAGCAGCATTGAAAAGTCATTTGAAAACAGGAAGCAATGACTTCATATTCTAAAGTTGAAGGTCCTGTAAGGTGGCAGTACACAGGAATTTGGAATATATATATAACCAGCTGTTTTAATTTCTTCCTTTGAGGACCTTCTTTGTGTGAACTTATGATGAGCAAAAGACAAATGCCCAAAAGCTAAAATATAATATAATAATAACCTTGCAGTCACAGCGCATCTATATAATGGATCTCAGAAGCTCGTTGCCCTGCTGTAATGTGAAGTTTGCTCTGTTAGTGTCCAGAGCACTCTGAACGTTCTCGCTGACCTCTTCTGGAGGGTAATGGACTTGATCTTGCTGAGATGCCCTTCAGGCAGAACAAGGCGGCGTGACGCCTTTAGTGTTCCCTGGGGTGGGCACGCCTTGCCTCGCTTCCTTGACACCCTATCCCCCAACCCCCCAGCTGGATTTCCGGACGCCCCCGGGGTTCGACCGCACACGCAACGCTGAGATCGGGAACAAGGACATCCGCTTCGAGCACCTGGAAGAAGCCTTCACCTCAGAGCACTGGCTCGTCCGCATCTACAAAGTGAAGAAGCCGGAGAATCGGCAGCCGCTGGGCCACAAGCCGCGCATCACCAACATCGTGCCCAAGCAGAAGTACACCTCAAAGAAGGTGGGTGCTCCCTGTCCCTCCGGGGGGCCGAAGGAGTGACGATCAGGGCATTGAGGCGGACAGACTGCAGGCAGCTATTCCTGTTGTCCACGGTGTATGAGGATTTACACAACTGGACCTATTTACTGTTCTAACCCTGCCACTGTAATGCCGCTAGAAGCACCTCACAGCTGTCCGACAGAGACTTCAGAATTAATCTGTGTCTTGTGACACGGGAGTGCGCCACGAGTGTCTTGTGACACGGGAGTGCGCCACGAGTGTCTTGTGACACGGGAGTGCGCCACGAGTGTCTTGTGACACGGGAGTGCGCCAAGAATGTGGTGTCCTGTTCTGCAGTGTAACTTCCAGGAAAAAGTGTGGTTTCTGCAGTCAGTTTTAAAAGGCAGAACTGAATGAACTGCCTCCCCAGTCCACATTATGATTCCGACATCGGCTGAACCTGCTCTGATGTCTCAGGCTAGCAGTACTGAGGGCTTTGGCCTGACCTGGGCACAGCTGCTGGAAGGTGTGCAGGTGTTTTTATTGCGTTAAAAGCTGCACGCCTGCGTTTTTAACCGGCATCCTTTCTGATCCGCAGGTTGCTAAGAGGAAGCGTGGCTACGTGAGGAATAAGCTGGTCCTGAAGAAGGGCAGGAGAGCGGTGAGGAAGGCCCTGTAATTATCACTCAGATTTCATTTTAAAAAATAAAGCAAAAAGGAAAAAAAAAAAAACTTAAGAAGAGCAGGATGTTTGGGCTGTGAAGGCCCTGAAGCCGAAGGCGAGCGTCTTCTCCCCCGGAAGGAATCTCTATGCGGCACAGACATGCCAGCTCGCAGTCACCTGATACCTTCATGGAGGGGGGCAAGGAGGACTGGGGCGGGGCTGTTTCGTTCCTGACACGTGTACAGACCATAATATACGGTATGGAGGAACATTTGTGTTGGAGGAACTGTAAAACTTAAAAGATTAAAAAACCCTACATGTAAATATGTTATATAAAGACTGTCTGAAAGAGGTCGTACAAAATATTGGCTTGTTGATTTTTTTTTTTTTTTTTAAACAATGAATGCTATGATTCCTAGTGTGGATGATTTGAAGACACTGAATATAGAAGATTGAATTGTTAATGAAAACCAACAAAAACCTGATTGAATATCCTGCAGTTTGATTTGAAACCACATTTACGGATCAGTCGTGGGGGGAGGAATTACTGATTATCAATGGCAATCTGTGTTTTCAAGCCGCCACTGTTGGATGCTGTTTGTTACACTAGTCTTTCACCAGTAGGGGACGAGGTCTAATCCCCCAACCAGTTCCCTCATTGGTTAGTGTGCATGCAGTGTCCCTCCCACTTTTTTTTTGATATGCCAAATTAACACCCTGTAACAGCACAAGATCTTGAGATGATTTCAGTCACATAAACAGTTCAATTAGTCTTTGGCTCTTCCTGTTTTGCTTTTTTTAAAATATATATTATCCCACCTAGCTGGGGGGGGTGTTCCAGGAAGCAGGATTTCTCAGTTAGCTGGGTTAACTTAAACTGGAGTCATGATCATCCAATGAGAGTTTAAGTAAGGAGCATTCCTATTGGATGATCATGACTTCTAGCTTAAGCTAACCCAGTTAAGTGAGAAATCCTACTTCGTGGAACACACTCCCTCTGGTCGTCTCTCTGCTGCTCTTATCACTGGTTTTGGTTTACGTGGGACAACAGGAGACTGCCCACCTTCATATTGATGCCAAAGGGCCACACTTCCCAAAAGCAGTAAATGTTTATGCAAAAACACTGAAGCAGACAGCAGTGACATCGTCTGGTGGACATGCAGCTGAAATGTAGTTTAGAATCTCTGGGTCTGTCCTGTTTGAGTAACATGGCTGGAAGATGACAGACTGCCTTAGTGAATAAAATCTTCATGTTCTCTCTGCCTTATTAATGTGCTGCAGGACCTTCTTTCCAGTATGATTTGATGCTCCCGAGGGCGGGGCTCATTAAACCTCACCCCCAGCATTTTCTGGGAGAGTTTACTTCATGGTCCCCCACCATTACAGTTTTCTACGCTGTAGCCCTGAGGTCAAAGTTCACTTCCAACATAATAAAAACAATGTAAATTGTTGCTGTCAGAATTGTGTCAGTGGGTTTCATTAATTCACCTGTAGTTAAATGCAGGGGTGCCTGGTGGCTGTGTGTTCACACCCTGGATATAAACCCCTATGGATGTGGTGCTCCTGGAAATCCCTCCCCCTCCTCCAAGTCCCTCAGACCATGCTGTGGTCTGGTTGGTAATCCCTCACTGGTTTAACCACACCAGTTTCACTACACCTGCACAACTTGACCAGTTATACTCAGTAGCTGATATGTAACACTAGTACCAAAAGTCACCATGTGGGGGCAGCACTTACGGTTGCTATAATAACAGTCGACACGAGTAATTTTTTAAAACGGGCAGAGGGTGGCGCTGCTCACCTTGCAGTTCACGTCCCTATAACTTGGCACGCACACTGCATGCACTGTAAACGTGTATAACGTTTCAGAATCCTTACCTGCAAGAACCAGCTACCGGCTTCAACTTCCTGTAGCAGAGCTACTGGGCCCCATTAATGCCTGAAAACTGCATGGCGGGAGAAAATATCCAGAGAAAAAGACTAGACATGAACCGGCAGTAAGCAAGGATGAGCAGACACGGCGATCAGTGTGGTGTCTTTATTTAAACAAAAACAACTGCGTAAACACCCTTCTGTCCCAGAACTACGTCATTACATGTCAGCTGTTGCATAGGTTCTACACAGGCGCCTGGGGGGAGGCTGCTTCAAGCTCATTGGCTGTGGATACATTGCACTGTTGTACTACTAAAACAAGTGCTACACATACTTAGGTACGTACATACATTCAGAACATCTCAGTCCTGGCTCAGGCTCACCTTTCGCCCAGCTAGAAGGGCCGGCCTGCTCCGGAAAGACTTACATCTATGGGGACAGGAAATGCCTGCCGTACAGAACATTGCCATCAGGGGGCAGCACCAGTTCCGGAGCAATCAGTGGCCGTAGTGTGACAGGGAGGCCTGACTCCCTGTGGCTCGTCGGGGTACTGCTGGCCCCCTCCACTGGAAGTGCCGAGATAAGGCAGGAGGAATGTCAGGCGTGTGCCCCCCCCCCTCCCCAACTGGGCCTCTCAGCGGGGACTCTGCAGGACCACAAGGATCAGATCACTACTGAATGACTGAGGTGTTCAGTATTAAAAACAGACAAAATTCCAGTGACACACATCTGTACACATCAGTGATCCTTGCCTGCAATTATAATTTATAAAACACCAGATTTAAACACAGTGCTTGGGGGTGGATGATCCTGCATGGGAGATGACAAACAAGATGGCAACTGATTAATGCAGAAACTCTACCTCCCGCATGCCCGGCTTCCCACATTTCGGTCTCTGTCGCCCCCTGCAGGCAGCAGCAGGGCCGGGCCGGCTCACCCAGCCTGCGCTACATGATGCTTGGTTTCACGGATATAATCCCCTTTTGGACACCAAAACAAAAAAATAAATAGTAAAGCATCTATTGCTGCGACTAAGCCAAGAATATTCTGTCCCTTAACGGAAGAGTCCAGTTCTGTTTTGTGTCCGGGGGGGGACCTACTGACAATGAACAGTCACACAATTAGCACCACCCTATCAACTAACCTGTCGTGAGTCAGCCAAAAGGTGTTGTATCTTACCTGCTGCTAATTACACCACCCGTCAAGCAAGACGCCAATAAAAGGATAAGAATGATTTCACGAAGGGGACCAGGACTGCCAAAGGATGCTCTCTAGAGAGGGAACTGGCTTCTTCGCAGGTTTTCCATGCAAACTTTGGCGAGCTGGAAAATCCGGAGTAGCGGTCTGCTGTGGTGTTATGATGGTCTGAACCTGGGCCCCGAAGAGCGTAAACTCAACAAAAACACAGAACGCAGCAGGTAGTCAGCGACACGCTGATTCTTGGGTTTTAATGCCGTCTTTACCCCGGCGCCTGACACAGAGCGGACAAGAGGACAACTTCCGGCGAGAAGACCAGACAAATGTAAGACAAAAGAAAACCATTCTGACACAACAAGGCATCGTAATGCTAAAGCAGTTTTCCATGTGTGTGCTGTTACATTTGTGCGTCGCTGAGTGACAGACATCACGGCTCGTCCTGGTGAGCTCATTCTCAGCTGGTTGCTGCTGATATACTTGATCCTGTTTCCAGGGACACACTTGGACACATTTCAGAGATGTATGAATGAATTACATTCTTTTTCCTAAATACTGAAAATCATATTCTGCTCCAATTTCAGCCTGCTAGCTGTCTCCAATGTTCCAGACATAAAATCTGCAGTTCCATGTTAATTTCACCAGGGGGCTCTCCTGGACCAGGGTGACCACAGCAAATGAAAGGAAGCAGACTAACTTCAAACTGGCCAAACTGGATTATGGGCATTATGGATTGTTGTGTTACCACCGACCAGTGAGCACCAGCTACATCCACTACTGCCCCACAATGCACCTGTCAAGTGACAAAACTATTACATGATCATTGAGTCAGTCCTGTTGGGTTTCATTTATTACTGCATCCAGACAACATCAACTGATTTTTGAGAGATCACTGTAAAAGCAGGCAGGCCTAATCAGGATCATTATTCCTCTTCTAGATATATGTCCTGACCTTTGACTTTAACAGGTCAGATCCCACTGGCAGGACACAGCTGGGTCATGTGACTGAGCAAGCTGAGGGGATTGGTGGAATTTCGTATCTTGCTCCAATGGCAGGCCAGAGTTCTGCATGGGCTGACTGGTGAACGCTGGGCTGGATGTCCAGCCTGCCGGGTACATTCCACTGACTTCATCCAACACGCTGTCGTCCTTCTTCTTCTACCATTCACTTCTACCTCCACACAGATTTCCCAAGGGAGGTGCTAACATAGTGCACAAGATGCTGATGGCTCTTCACTTTAGTGTGCAAAAAAGGTCTAGGCAATTGTGAAAAATAGAGAGACTCTACAATGAATACTAAAAAACCTCTACCAATGATCCCGCCTACGAGGCAGAGCCCCACCCCTTCCCGGTCTGGCAGTCTCTCACACCAGCAGTGTGTGTTGAATAGTCTGTAGGGTCCCTTCTGGACATACCCTGTGTCATCCCTGGGCCCTCCACAGGTTTCCACCCAATGGGGGGAGGGGGGGTGGGGGGGGTGGTGTGTTCTGGGCTCCTCCTCTTTAGTCCAAGGTCCCGCCCCACTTGTAGAGCGGGGTAGACAGACAGCTGCCACATCAGTGCGCCTTCCACAGAGGGTTGTGGTACACCCAGCCCTCACCCTGCACACGAGACAAACAGATACGTCAATCCGAGAAAAATAAAAAAAAACTGAATGTATTTCCCATGTTGGCAAATTATTAATTCTTCCAGCATTACATCAAATCATTTTTGACATGTAATTTGGCGCCTAGCGTCCGAGTCAAACGCCTGTGTTGTGTGAGCCGGAAGCCTCATTTCCAAAGGAGAAAAGAACTGTCAACCAGGAGAGCGGATTCGCTCTGACCACTTCAGTGCCTAAACGTGGACACAGTGGAGCATTTCCCTGGGGGGGCCTGGCGCTCGGCCAGGAATACTGTGTGTATAGCCAAGCACCAGGACATCCTGGAACTCAAACCAGACCTTGATGAAGTAGTTCAGCTCCTGGTTTGTAATGGCTTAATCGCATTTGGCTGTCCACCAAAGACCTGGAGAAGAGGCTCCTGCACAAGCTCACTGCCCTCAGAGACAGGCCAGCATCCTCACCTCTTTGACGAAGTGCTTGGGCTTCCATGGCGTGCTGGCGTCCGCCCTCTGCCGCTCCTCGGTCCGCTGCCGCTCCTCCAGTCGGCGCTTGTGTTCAGTGGCGCTGTCCATGTTGCCATCCTTCAGCGCCGCTGTCACGTGCCGCCACAGCCGCCTGTCATGGGTCACATTGGTGATGTCATCACGTTATCAGATGGAGGATCCATCACAACATCAGTCAGAACCTCCATCTTGTCATCGGAGACTCTGACCGGTCATCAAAGAGTCTCCATCACATCATCAGTCAGAACCTCCGTCACATCACCAAACAGAGACTCTGACTGGTCATCAAAGAGTCTCCATCACATCTGCAGAACCATCATTGTGACAATCAGAGCTTCCATCACGTCATCAATCAGAGCCTGCACCACATCATAAGTCTCTGTCACTTAACCAAACAGAACCTCCATCACATCATCCCACAGTCTCCATCATGACAATCAGAGCCTCTGTCATTTAACCAAACAGAACCTCCATCAGTCGAGGTCTCTGTCAGGTCATCACATCATTACATCAAAATCAAACAGCCACCATTCTGTCAAAAACATCCTCTGTTATAAAACATCAGTGCTCATTACATAACAGTCAGCACCGGAACAGTCCCATCATGTTAAAGGGGGTCTCCATAATCACTGCCATAATGTCACACTGCACAAACAGCACTGGAATGCAGGCAGGGAAACTGTAAGCAAGGCTATAGCAGCAGTGTGCAATTTCACAGTGCAGATGATAATGTTCAGGTGTGCATCAGCTACCGCCCTGTATGGTTATGCACAGTCAACAGGCCATGTCCTGCTTATGCTGAGCTCCCTTACACACACACACACACACACACGTTTGTATTTATATCATTGTGGGGACTCTCCACTCACTTTTATGGGAAAAATCCTAATCCCAACAATGACGACCTTAATGCCTACCCAGCCCTAACCTTAATCATAAAGTCTTTCGGCATTTTCAGTTCTTTGACTGCTGTCACAGAATTGAGTTTCCCCTTGTGGTAACTGAAAAAGTTAACCCCACAATGTCAAAATAACATTTGGTCCCCCCCCACACACACACACACACACACACACACGCTCTTCACAGTCATGTGTCATCAGGCAAGACTGGCAGGATCCCTAATTAAATACTCTTTCCTCACTGTTTACTAAAATGAGGAGGGCTGATTTACTGTCAGTCACCATTTGTAATTCAAAGTGTTTCTTACTTGTAATTAGTGTGACTGCACCAAAAAGCTGTACCAGAGAGCACTAGTGTCCAGGGATCAGAGTGAGGTGACAGAGCCCTTTAACAGAATAAGCTCCCCTCTCCTCCAGCCTTATTCACCAGGACCACGGCCTGCAAAGTCAATTATTAAACAGGACGGCAAAAAGTGGCCTCTATTTATTTCCTTCACTTTTAATTGTATCCCTGATTGTCCTCCACATCACTGGTGGCAAGACAAGAGTGTCAGAACTAATTATGATTGTCTAGACTAATTAATGCTACAACTAACACGAAACAACGATTTCTTGACACCGTTAACTAAATTAAGAGCAACATGGATTACAGCGCAGGTCAGGGGAGCTATAGAAAAGCTATAGAAAAGCTATAGAAAAGCTCAGGAGCGAAGTTTGCCTGGGGCTTCTCTTCGTTTATTTAATTTTTTCCTTTATTGGGAATCACATAATAAACACAATTTATAGAGTCGTTAAAGTTAAATGCCTTTACAAAGGGATCCATTTATTTTCTAACAGTATTATCGTGGAACATTGAAACAGCACGGGGGAGCTTGTGTTTTTTTTTTTTGAAGGAAGATTGGCATCAGGGGTAAAATATTCGGGGTTAGGCTTATGCCGATTGGACCTAACATCAACCAGGCCACAGATACTACTGGTTTGGGTCTGTCGCTTGCCTGGCCAATGAAGTTGCTGATCAGGGTGGGGGGGCAGTCAGTATCTGACCTGTCCTGGTTGTTAGTGGATGGTGGAAGGGAGAAATTACACAGCCTCTACAAACAGACCCTATGGTCTCCAGCAACATGCCATTTGTTATTAACCAATCGTTTTACCAACAGGTTACGCCTGGCTTATGAGCTGTGTGATATACTTCACGCAAGGCAACGCATACACGATGCAAGCAGTGTACTGACTGTACTTGCATGCATAGTTTACATCTATCTGGAGGATTATAGGTTATGTCCACCAGGGGGCAGTGCAAGAAAGCCATCTTGGTTGGCTCCTTCGTTTCTTGTCTTGCTTGTTGTGTTTGAGGTTGTGACATAAAATGATGTAGATTCACTCCCTCCACAGCGACCGAGTTGCTATTTTTTTTTAACACTGCTGCAGTGTTCTCTGCATTCTAAACACTGCTCCACATCGTACTTGGCTCTGCCACATATGACTTTACTACCCCATGTTGCATTGTATGTTGTTAGATATCTCGTAGAAGTTAGTACTTCGTAATTAGGCTCAGGGGCGGAGCCAAAGGGGTGGCAGGGGTGGCAATTGCTACTTCCCATCATAATCGGAGAATTACGCTCTCCTGAGTGTATCCTTGCTTTGCAAAATGTCCTTATTTGACTAAGTGGTTCTCAAACTTTTGCAAATACCACCAGGGGAATGCAGATCAGTTCTGGTGATATTCATAAACCTTGCTGTTTACAATTCAGATGCAGTTTTATTTGTTTATTTACTTTTTGAGAATTTGTTTTTTGCATTCTGAGCTTTAAATTTACATGTGCGCTGCTCTTGTTTGGTCATTGGTGCAATTTTACTTCTTGTTTGGTCATGAATTAGTCTAGGTTTAGTCTGCGGTTAATCCAGTCTGTGTTCATGTTTGGTCCTGGATTAGATTAGGTTTGGTCTTTATGATTTTGTAAACATTTGTTGTGTTTATTCAACAAACATTTACAAACTCATTGTTTATTATGAGTGTACGAGAAAAATATTTTTTTCCTTCATTTATCATATTTATATGGACCCCTCTGAGAAACCCTTGCTCACCCTTTGCCCCTCCCTTAAATAAAAGTCTAGCTCCACCACTGATTAGGCTGCACGACACTGACACTAGATAATCCTGAAAAGGTGCGTTCATTGAAATCGCACAGCTTGCGAAGTGTTTCCTATAACAATATAAATGTTCTAGTGAAACGTAAACCCCAAGCTCTCAGCAAATTTTATAACCAAAATTTATAGATACCGGAACTGTACTGAAAAATAACTTTGCTTTTGAAAGTAGACTAGTCAGAATTTTACGTTAGTGTTCCATTTTACGCATGACGCTGCTTTTTTAGAAACCTAAACTGCCATTAAATCTTGAAAACGCTGGACACAGAGGGACACAATAGTGCTTGCAATATGTTCTCTCTTGCCTCTGAAAATATACAGTTCTTCCGGCCTTTCGTTCTTAAAAAAATCTGGTTATTTTAATACTAAAGACTGTATATAAACACATAGTCCCGTGACGAAAGGTGACCATACTGCCACCCCAGTTTTTGGTGGTACTACATCTCGCGTACATGTCGCGGTAACTCCTCACGTAGGTGCACCTACGGCATGCGGAATGAACGCAGAAACCGCGTGGCGGCCATGATGCGTGTGCATAAGCGTTGTGAGTGTCGAGAATAAATCAGCCCTTAGAGCAGTGTTGGGGTCTCTCTGGGGGTCGTTCCTCTGGAAATCGGGGTGACGGTGGCACAAACAGGCAGCCGACGCATGGTCACAGAGCTTTGCTGACGTATAAATGGGTTCCAATGCTGCTGTATCTCACACACCTTGGGACCAAGAGCAGATCCAACCTGCAGGCCACAGCAGGCAGATTCTTTTACAGACCCCATGGTTAGACACTCAGATGCACAACAGATAATCAGTAGACAGACACAAACTCAGCTTACTTGCGTAGTACCCTGGAGACACGCTGCCACTGGCCGCCCCTGGCTTGGCTCCGCCCACTCACCTCGACTCGTGCTGGCCCTGCTTCTCCAGCGGACGGATCTTCTTCTTGATGACTGGCAGTTTGGAGGTGTCGATAGCTTTGGTCTCCCCGCTGCTGTAGGTGAACTCCAGCATCCCGTTCCACTCACCCTGGGCCTTGCAGATGATGGTGTTAGTAGGATTGTGCTTCACTTCCGCTGTTACCCTGCCAAAGGGTAGAGTCAGCCATCAGCAGCTGGCATACAAGCCACGTCAGACGAGATACAGCTCACTGGGTGTTTCTCAATACCAAGAACGCAAAGATCATACTTGTGGTCTTGGCAAGACAGGTCTTGCTAAATTGCCTTCTAAGAACAAACTTGGGGTGCAATGAATCATGGGATTGGTCTCGTTTGGTGAAGATGCAATCGATGCATACTTGTTATTTGGGGCAGGGCAAGAATGATATCCGGGGATTTTTACCATTCTCGTGTACTTGTATTCTTAGTATTGGAACTGGTCTTTGGCAATGGAAGATGACACAAAACAGATACACAAGAGCACAACTATGGTCAAGTACACATATTAAGAAACACCCAGAGTTTAAGCTTTTCAGAACAGGAGAGCAGATTAGTTAAGGGACCCTACTAATGAACAGAAGGTTTCCAGCCAAGCTGCCAGATAGAGAACCATTTATCCATCTTGTGTTACCACTTATCTGTAACCGGGCTTTGATTGGCTTCTGCAGTCCAGAAACATGTACTTTCCTCACCTGAGAACCCGGAGGAAATCCACGCAAACACTTGGAGAACATGCACACGGATATGAGGAACCACCCACAACTAAACAAAGATTTGGCAAATTAAGCTAATGAAGAGATACTAACAGCAATCACATCACAAGGATTAATGGTGGGGACAGAGCCTCTAGATCTAGATTAGCATAGGCGCTCCTCTTTAGCCATGATTAAACCCAAGATTACAGCTCAGGAAAAAAAGCCTTTCCGTGCCTTTCCGGAAACACCGCTAAAGCACTTACGTTCTTATGTAAGTTCTTATGTAACTTGAAAGGTTCTCCTGCGGAAACTGATTAAACACTAATGCAGTGTATCAAAAAGCATCAGATAATAAAAATTTAAGAGGACAAGCAGACAGACAGTGCAGTCCTGCCCATTTCAAATACGGCCACGTAAACCAGGGTGTTTATTGAACAGGCTCGATATTCAAGGCACAGACAGTGGCTAAGGGTTTGATTTTGGTTTGGATAGATGATAAATAAGGATAAGAGGACAGGCTTCGCCTTTGGCCAGTTTTCAAATGGCAGAGTTTTCAGTCCTGTGAATCGGGATTGGTTATCTACTCCCATGAGCTCAAACACACACAGACTTTTATAAAATTGAGGTTTATATTGTGGAGACCTACAAAATGTCCCCACAAGGTCAAAATAATAGGATTTTATCATGTTATGTGAACATCAGGTCTGCGCAATGTAATATATACATGCCCACCCACCCACACAGACAGACAGACACACACATGAGACTTTAGGCATTTTTAGTTTTTCGATTGCTGTCACAGATTTTTATAAAATTGAGTTATAAAATAGTCCCCACAATGTAATATATACATGCCCACCCACCCACACAGACAGACAGACAGACACACACATGAGGCTTTAGGCATTTTTAGTTTTTCGATTGCTGTCACAGATTTTTATAAAATTGAGTTATAAAATAGTCCCCACAAAAATAGTCCCCACAATGTAATATATACATAACTGCCCCCCACCCCATACACACACACACACACACACAGAGGAGCATTGCAGGGGGCTACCTGTGCACTTTCCCTCCGTAGAAGGGCTTGGTGTGGAAGGTGACGGAGGCAGAATAGCCGCTCTTGGCACAGACGACAGAGACCTTTCCTCCGAGCTCCACCCAGGGCACGGTGAGGATGGAGCGGGCGTAGGCTGAAGGTAGCGTGAACACGTACTCCTCGCCGTGCTCCAAGAGGTAGAGCACTCCTGGAAGTCAGAGGTCAAAGGTTAAGGCCTACCCAGCACATCACTACTTCACACTCTGGTTTGCCTACAAGAATAAAAGCTTCTTTTATTGTCATGGATATCTTGACATTTCAGGTGATGGATTGCCATTGATAACATTAAGCACATCCTGTGCTCCTATCAGGCCTAAGAGAACAGACACCCCGTCCCTGCATCCCCAAAAGGCAGGCGGGGGGGGGGGGGATAGGAGCAGGGAAAAACCATGGCAACAGCAGACCATTCTCCTGTTAAACATTAAGGGCTCCTGTGCAATTTCCCACAAATAGACAAGGTCTTTATTACTGCTCTGATTTCAGCAGATTTCAGGAGTGAAACACACAGCCCTCCAGCACTAATCCTTAGACTGCTCTGTGGTGGGAATGGGCCAGCAGGCACTGCAAATGACCAAATAACTGGCTGCAGAAGACGTGTCTGTCCCCGGGAAGCGACACACAGCTGCCCTACTTATCTGCTCCGACAGCAAAGCCTGTCTCACTGCGGGGCAGGTTCCCGCAGCCCCCGAGGGATGAGGGGGCAAGAGAGGTGGGGTGGCCAGTACTGTCCCCTGCATGTACAGAGACCACGCCCCCCCTACCACCACATCACGTCATAGAACTGAAAATAATGATGTACATACACAGAAAAAAAAGAATAATAATAATAATTTATATATATATATATATATATATATATATATATATATAGATAGATAGATATAAATAAAAGCACCAATGAAAACATGGAGCATTTTAAAATAGAGCTAAAAGAACAGGATCACAAGATGAGGTCTCAGCATAAAAATATTACCCAGAGAGTTGGCTGTTCCTGAACTGAAAACTCAAATTGAATTCTCAATACATAGTGTTTAAATACCACATCAGTGGGGTACAGGCTGTGTTGCTCTTTTCTGAGCTGCGACAAACCCAGAAATTATTCTCACAATACTTTTAATTCAGTGACTGTCTGGAGTCCTGGGAATGGGCGGCATTTATTGGGGGCGACTTGAATGGCAGTGAAGGTCATGAATATATATGAGGGGATGCAGCCAGGCGTCCCCCAGCCAGTAACGTTATTAAAATCTGTGCAAAAACCTAAAATAAAATAGCCACATAGATTTAAAAAGATAATAACTTGCACTGTGATGTTCAGCCCTTCAAGTCACTGACTGTTTTACTGGCTGTGATGTGGTTGTTTTAATACAATCAGTCCTACTACAGTGCAACTAATGCTCACATTCACTAAAATCACATACAAAAATGCACATATCCAAAGGGGAAAAAGGGGTTAGGCCAGCGGTCTCAAACTCCAGTCATGGGGGGCCGGAGCCCTGCATGTTTCCCCTCTTTTAACACACCTGATTCAACTCCTTGTGCTAATTGCCACACAGCTCTTGAGCTGAATCACTTGTGTTGGAACAGGGAAAGAACTAAGCTACACAGGGCTCTGCCCCCCCAGGACTGGAGTTTGAGACCCCTGAGTTAGGCGAATGCAACTGCAAAACATAGTAACTTATGCCAAACGAAATGAATTAAATTAAAACAGTGATACCAGTCACCAACATAGTAAATTACCAGTAATTTTATGCATTTGTAGAGAATAAGAAATAATAATAATATATGAATAAATTATATCAAAAACATCTCCCATGGGTCTTATGAGTCTCAGAAGAATTGTTTATTAACTGTTCCACCCGAACATGCAAAATTCATTAACTTGTCAATTACCGAGAGTCAGAAGTACTGATGGCCAAAACAACGCCTCATGAACCATTTGCTGTATTTTCTAACCCCAGTAGATGGTGCTCTTGGTTTACTTTGGGGCATGTGTTGAGTCCTTTTTTGAACAGAGAGCACTATCTATTGGCATCAGAAAATATAACAAATGGTTCATGAAGTGTTATTTTGGCCATAATTATTCAGAAGTAGTGTGACACAGCCATCATGCAGCTGGAACACAATGGATTATGGTATGCAGATGGGCATTGAAGGTAACATGGCTACAGACAGTCTACGAAACGCAAATGGAAGTGAATTTAAAAACGTTGCTGTCTTTGTCACATATTTTTAAAGTTTTAGATTCTAAGACTTGTGCAATGCGTGAATGTACAAAAAGTTTGATTTGTTTAGATTTGAAAACGGGTTTAACTAATTCACTGAAAAGAACGGGTTCAAAAGTACGTCTGGTTCCCGAATCGGACGTCATTATCGTTCACTCGGACAGTTGTTTTTGCATGCAAGTAGTGTTTCTCGCCAAGACCATATCCCATTGTAGTTTGCACAGTGCTTTTCTCTCCGACTGAAAATCCCGCAAATACAAACGTGATTCCACATTGTATTGAACTTGGGTACTAATACATCAAATTGCATTAAAAGAGGTTTGAGGTGTGATATCACATGTTGTAGCAGGAATAACTTAGAAAGTAATAGTAGAATGTAGTGCTTTTTTCCTCTTGTGATGAAATGTTAATTAAAAGAAAGGGTATTTGTACTTTTGTATTTGAGAAATTACAGAAGAGTTCGATTTTAACTGGAATACACAAGAAAGGAGATTAAGAAGGTCAGACTTTCTAGGTCAAGGTGAAGAAGCTGATCTTATCCATCAACACAGAAACTCCTCACTCAGCAGAGGGAGGATGCAGAGGTACAGTAATCAAGATCTGGACTTTTTTCTTATCAGCATGAATCTCAAACCTGGCTAATGCTTGTTCATTAGGTCCATTTCTCAGAAGGGGAAAACGTTATCATTTCGTGCACAGACAATAGATAAAGACTGAATACAGTCACTTCATGTGCAACTAAAACTAAGTGATAGGGCTGCTTTTGGGTTGTGTAAGTAATAAGAAAGGATAATGATGTCTTTCGGTGCAAAGTCCATCTATCGGAGCTACCCCACACACAAAACGATGACGCACGCTCTTTTGGCTCCCATGATTTCACACGACGCTCAAACGGACACTGCCACTGAGCAACACACAAAACACCATCAATAGCAGTTTTGCTGCAGTCAATAGCTATTTGGCAAAAACACATCTGGGCTTTGGGCGTCCTGCAGCTAATCGATGAGCAGTCTTTTGCCCGCGGGCGGCCTGTCTGACAGACACACAGACATACATAAACAGGCATGCAGACACAGAGACTGATAGACCAGATGCACCTCATCTTCAGTACAAGCTCAAATCCCTGGTTACTCTATAGCCTCCGTACAAAATGGAATTTTGACCAGATTTAACCTGAATCTCCTCTCTAAAAAACTGGGTGTAAACAGAACTAATGTATGTAAATTCAGTGGTACCTCAGTTCTCAAACTCATTAGAACTCGAATTTCTTAACAGTCGAACTAACCAGTTCCAAAAAAAATTACCTAGAACTCGATCTGAATCTCAGAAGTCAAACCGTGATGCCGACTAAAGATAACTTGCACGCGCGGGGAAATGAGTCACGCGGCACGTCTCTCAGCGGAAACAAAGGGTAAAGCTTCAGTCTCAGCCTCGCATTCACTGTGATAGCATCCTGTATGTTTACACTAGCTGAATACATATATTTAGACAGTAAAAATACATTTAGACAATGATAGACAGTAACAGTAATTATTATATAATGTATTTTTAAATGTATTTTTAAATACATTTAAAAATAAAGATCTTATTAATTATTTTAATATTAATAATAAACCATTAATACAATGCAATACAATGACCGGACTGGGGAAACAAACTGAAACACAGACTAAATACAGAGGAATAATGAGAACAACCAGAAACAGCTGATCACACGAGGAATCCACACGGGGTTAACGAGGGGGCGTAGCACACGGAAAGAGCGGACGATCGGGGCAGAACACATTGTTTGGATACATTTATTTTCTTACTTTACAAATTACCGTTTTGATAAATGTGCTTAGATGTGTTTAGTACAGTATATGCTCCTCTTGTTTTATCCGGTTCATTTTGTGTTTAAATGCTAAAAAAAACATATTTAGGTGTAATTTTTTGGGGCCAGGAACCAATTAATTGGTTTTCCATTATTTCTTATGGGGAAAATTCGATCAGTACTCAAACTTTTTAGGATTCGATCCGGAGTTCTGAACGGATTAAGTTCGAGTTCTGAGGTACCACTGTATATGTAGCATACGCAAACTGGTTAAAGGCCAGTGCTAACTAATAGTTGCAGCTGCTTCTAGAGAATGCAAACATTCAAAGACATTTTTTGACTGGGGCATACAGGGGAATGAAGATGCCCATTTGTAATTCATCCCATCCGACTGACCTGCCTGCTTCAGCTTCCTGTGGCACAAGATCAGGAGAGGGAATGAGTGTGAGGCCTGTGTGATGTCATTACAGCCTCATCGCTCTCATTCTGACATCATCAACTCACAGCAGCTGTATCAACCATTAACTATCAATCTGACTGCGCTTCAACATTCCCTCATTGAATATTAAGAGTAATTTATGCCAAACGAAATGAATTAAATCAAAACAGTGATACCAGTAACCAACATAGCAAATCACCAGTAATTTTATGCATTTGTAGAGAATAAGTAACCTGGTTCAAGGTTACAGTAGAACAGCAATTATGGGAAACCAACTTAAAGACAGTTGTGGAAACATTGCTTTTTTAATGAAAAAGTAGCAAAACTAGATCATAAATAATGACAAATCAGTCTCAGAGGGAAGCTTTTTAAATGGATGTTAATATGTTAATTTTAGAAAGAACATGTATGAGAAAATATATCTAATTTTTTTCCATTTATCCATGATAATTATCGATAATTATCCATGTGCTGTATCCCTTAAATTATTTGAAGACAAAGCCAACAGCATCCATCAGGCCCCTGAGGAAATGATTGATCATATGATTGATCATATGTCTGTCCGTCCATCCCCCGATTGTGGGAAAGAAAAGAATCTTGCTAATTATAGGAAAGAATCGCGCTAAACTCAAGCATCCATGAAATAAGCACTCTGGAAAAGGCCTCTGCGTCCCTTTGGCCTGTGCCCACTTACTTTTGGGGTGTGGGGGGCCAGCAGGAGCCCCCATTTCCCCCCCTATTTACCTGACTCCCGGTGTGAGGTCTCAGACACGTGCCACACAAGCTCCTCACACCTCAGCTAAACCCAGCCGGTTTTGGGAAAATGAGCCGAGAGTCGGCCCCCCCCCCCATGGAGCAGGCGAAACAAACGGCACACTGAACATCTTTGATACCAAAGCAGCTAAAATGGCTGACAATATCACTCCACCACTGAAGCCCGATGTTGACGTACAGATCTCTGCGTAAGGCTTTGATTAGTCGGGGGGATTGGGCACAGCGGAAAGCCTCACGGCCACACGCATCCAGCCTCATTATCAATCACTGGGGACCGATTATAACCAGGCCTGCAGACAGTGCAGAGCCCCCCAGTGAAGCCTCCCCCCTGCGCAGAAAGACAGCCTCACAGCCCGAGGCCATGCAGGCCTTGCAGGGCCCGTATCCGCGCCAAGGCGCTCATGCTGACTTACCGGACGGCCGAGAGCAGCGTCTCTAACAGTGACACAGGTCTGGCACCTCAGCGTTTCACACCAGAAATGTACCTTAACGTACAAACACTGGCCGACGGCTCTTCCGGTTCTTCACCAGCTAATCCTCAAAGGCTTGACGTCAAAACAGTTATTTTCAGTGCAAAAATCTCAACAGGGCGATGGAACAAACCAGATCTAGAGACTGCTGCACTTATTAATTATCAGGGGAGTCACTGTAGATAAAGCTAAATGTTTTAAAGCAATGTAAACAAATTTTGACTTTAAAAATTCTTTATTCTATCTTCTAATTAGCTCCCACTCACAAACGCAGTCAACCTCGTGAGACAATTTTTGCGGCAGGCGAAACGCCACAAAACAGCGAACGAAGCAGGCAGCTAACGGCTAACGAAGCAGACAGCTAACGGCTAACGAAGCAGACAGCTAACGAAGCAGACAGCTAACGGCTAACGAAGCAGACAGCTCTGCTGACGATCAGCTAGGTGGAAAACAGGTAAACATCTCAGGGGTCGTTACGGCCATTAGGCAAATCACACTGTCCTCCGCAGGGAAGAGAGTCTGTTTACCCATCATCTGATAGCTAGTTAGACACTCACCAATTTAAATGTTAACTAGCTACCCAAAAATTATGGGCCACATTGAACAGCAATGTGGGAAAACAAAAGTGATGACTTTTTAAAATCTGATTCATTTCCTGGGGTAATTCAAATATGGGAGGGCCCCGGCTTGTTAAGAGATCCGCTGAGACAAATTGACCCCCCCACAGGAAACATCAAAGACACGCAGAGGGACCCACCCCATCTGTCTGCTGGGTCACAGCGATGGACCATTAGCACCTGGGTCCAGCACTGCAACACCCCCTTTGGCTATTAGCAGACAGCTGCCACACAATCCCCCCGCCAACAACCAAACACTGAGTCACAAGCTACCCCCCCATCCTAATCCAGGCCTTGCTGTCGTGACTCGCCACCCTCTTCCCCCTGTCCTGATTAGCGTTTCCCGAAACTCTCTCTCACAGCCAGGGACAGCCCCATCCGTCACAGCCGCTAATTTAACTTTTCTGCTTCAGCCTGGTTAAATCCGGTTCTCGAGGGCCGACACGCATTAGAAAACACATATTTAAACCCCAAACGTGGGGGGAGGGTAAGGGCTTCTGTTTTTTAATAAACAGAAGATTTTGTGCATTGTCCAGCTTTGTCCAGCATTGTCCAGCCCTCTCAGGTCACATACTTTGCAATTGAAGGTGCCCCCCCACACACCCCCCACCCCAGATGCCCTAGGAAGCCTGCCCTACCTTCTCCGACCATGGAGACCCCGACGGACATGCCCATGAACTTGCTCTTGGTCCACACGTGGGCGTTGACGCACATGCCGCGCTCCCGGCACTCGCAGTAGAAGCCCGAGACAGGCGGGTGGTGGGACACCTGCTCGGCCACGAAGTGAACGCGGTAGCAGTCAGACGAGGCCGCGTCCCGGCTGGCTTGCAGGGGGCGCACACGCTCCCGCGGCACCTCCCAGGAGCAGTGGAAGGTCTCGCCCAGCACAGGGTTGTAGGGCTTCTTGGCCACGGCGCCTCGCCGGCCCTCGTGGAAGGCGGTCAGGTAGTACTCCACAAAGCGCACCATGCGCTCCTCGGCACTGCAGGCCGCCGTGATGGCTAGGAACATGTCCGGGTGGGCCATGAAGTTGGCGTACATCTCCAGCAGGGAACGCTTCTCCAGGATGAAGGTGGGCAGTACCACCTGCGGGGGAAACAGGGGAGCTTGAGAGTGATGACAGCTACAGTCTAAATCCAGCTAAAATGCACCAGGTTAACAGGTAGGAGGCCCTCAAGCTGTCAATCTGCCCTGAACGGAACCGTTAATCATGAACCTAAACCCAGCACAATGAGCCCGACCGACTCCACGATGATGATGAGGAGATATACGGTAGTCATGGCAACAGTTCGGCAATTTCCTTTAGCTGGAGATTTGGATCGCACGTCCTTGAGGTTCGAATGGTACCTTTTGCTGTGAGCTTATACAGCTGGAATTGGTTGAGGGATGTCCCAGTTCACAATAAACCTGGCATTCCGGCTTACTTAACCTATCCAGGCAAGAAAGCGAAAATTTATGAAGGTAAAACACTCATACCTTTTAGGACAATGACTGAACTTGCAGAAAAACTGGCATTGAACACATAGCTGACAGTCATTATTCAGTAAAGCAAAAAAAATAAAAAATCATGTTCCTGTGAGACTGATGACTACCCAGGTTAATCAAAGAGATCTGTGAGGGAACTCGGAGTGGATTGGTATTCAGTATTCACTCCCTCCCGCACGCCTGAGAGTCCTTAATGTTTACTCTCAATCAGAGAAGATGCTCCTTTGACCAGCTGCCCACTTCCACCAGAGTGAGACTATAAATAATCTTCAATTACAGCAGGACAGAGCTATAATGCTGTGTGTGTTCCCCGCCTTCGAATCACTGGCGGAGTGTTCGTCGAGGTCTCAACGACAACTCCTGGCTGCACGCTAATTAAAAGGCAGCTGACTGAGGTGACGGGGCACCAGGAGAAGGGATTCCGAATTATTCGACTTTAGGCGCCAACCCCGTGACAAACACCTGAACTCCACCTGGCCCATGGTGACGGCCACCTGAACTCGGCATGGCTTGCTTCCTGTCCTCTGCCAATCTCAGACGTCTCAGGCTGCCATTGGCGAGTCACAAGGAAAGCAAAAGGCAGCCTTGGCCGTCATGTACTCCGTCCAAAATAAGCCTGTGTATCCATGGTGATACCAATGTAAACAAACGTCTGTCTCACGTACCAATCCCAGGATCATGCCTGTCCCTGGACCAGCTGGGACAGCCTGGCACACAAATACGCAGCTAAGCAGAGGACGTTGGGATACAGGCTCTGGGGAGAGAGACACCTCCAGCAAGCGGTGGACGCAGAAGGTGAAAATTGCACGAAGTAGCAGTTTTATACCTGCTACAGAGGTCAGATTCAATTTAAGAGCTGATGTACTGACAGGTGGTGGTATTGGTCGGCCCCGTAAGGCTATTCCCGCTGTGCTGGCAGTTCTCAAACACGGTATGTTTAGATTCATATTCCGAAAAGCACTTCTTACAGAGAAAAGAGTCACAGTTCAAGACCTTTCATCACTCTGACAAATCATCTCTCAAAGCATCTGCAGAGAACTGTGACAAGTAATATTCAAGAAGTAAACAGTAAATCTGGAGAAATAAAACCAGAAAAACAATCTAGCTCGATATGCAGCCAAGTCATTTCTGTGGTCTTATTTTTTCTGGAAAGACTAATATATCTGGGAAGAAATATAGTCATGAAGTAAACTAATATTTTTAGACAGCTGACAGACACTCTCTGTCTGTGTTAATCACTAACTCAGATTTCTGATTATCTCAGGGCTCACACTTACTCTCTCAGCTCTGTGATTATCCCAGGGCTCACACTCACTCTCTCAACTCTGTGATTGTCCCAGGGCTCACACTCACTCTCTCAGCTCTGTGATTATCCCAGGGCTCACACTCACTCTCTCAGCTCTGTGATTATCCCAGGGCTCACACTCACTCTCTCAGCTCTGTGATTATCCCAGGCCTCACACTCACTCTCTCAGCTCTGTGATTATCCCAGGGCTCACACTCATTCTCTCACAGATACACCAAGGCCTCAGAGGGCAGACTCACCCGCGTGAGGTCCATGCCCAGTTTGAGCTGGGAGAGGAGGTGCAGGATGACACTGCGCTGCTCATCCAGGACGCCCAAGTCCTCCTCCTCATTGTCCTCTGTGTCGGTGACCTCATCGTCGGGATGGGCCGTCTCCGGGCTGGGTGACTGCAGTGACAAGGATGTTTAGGGGTGACACATACCTGTCCACTTTACACACTGAAACTGCCGTGGTGCTGAACACACCAGTGTCATGGGGACAGCGGCAGGAAAAACAAACATCATTTAGAATTTCAAATTTCATTTTTGGGTCCGACTCAACATGAGGAAAAAAGGCTTCGAACACCCTGGAAGGCGGAGCATGGGGAGAGCTGTCAATCACTGGGGAAGCAGCCAATAGGAGACCAGTAAAAAAAACACACACACGTTGCACTGTTAAAGAGAGACAGCTGCCTCAGGGACGACTGGATCCAGGGTGAGAAAGCACCCCCTACCAGAACAAAGCTGCTTTAAGAGTAACAGAGTAAAATCACACGGTATCTGAGCCTTAAAATCTGAGCTTATTAAAATCTATTCTGTTGTGGTTGGCATCGACAGCAGCTGCTTTCCCCTGGAGCGATAGGGGCCAAACTCACAGTGTAGGCAAACATGGCCTCTCCTCTCTCACTGTGCTCTGCCAAAACACAGCCCGCTTTCGTTATCTTTCTCTTTTGGCAGTATGTGGAATGATCATTTATATCACCAACATCCACGCCCGCCAAATGGATAAGGTGCCTTAAAACAGCATCTCATGAAACCTTGGCGGTCTTGATTCTCATATGTCAGTCTGACATATGCTTTCATGCCCCTGTGATGTCACTACCCAGAAGGCAACACTTTAAACATTGCTTTAAATCAACCCCCCTGCCCTCCCTGAGTCAGATGGGATGATCAGAATTTTCTCCCTAAATATTTTATACATACATATTTATACATACACAAGACATGTTTATACAAAGACACATAATCTCAAATACATGCTCAAAGTGTCAGGCCTTAATAGTAATATAAAGTAAACATTCAATTATATTTCCAAATAAACTAGACACACCATAAACACACATACTCTAAGTTATCGCAGTTTCTGTCCCCTTCATTGCTGAGCGCACAAATGTAAAAGGATTCACAGAAGTTCACACACGCTCTTGTGTACGTCACGCCTCCCCCGAGAATCACACCAAATCATCCTAAATATTTCATTGGTCAAAAGCAGGGCAGCCTCTTATCTGCATGGACACACATTCCTCATTTTTTTAGTCACCAAAGAAATTTCCTCAGAAATTCAGGCTTTAAGTTGAAACTGCAGAGAGCGCGGCGCCGCCCTGCTGGGAGAACATGCAGTGGACGGCAACAGCGACGATGATGATAGGCCTCTCGTCTCCAAGCCAGGGGTTTCATTCGGAACAAGAGACTTCCTGCTTCTTGGGGCCGTTGCCTGTGGACGGTGAGGTTGATTCCAGCAATGCAGGAAGGGACTGAACACCGCTACTCAACAGAACCCAGGCCCAGAGTGTCAGAAACAGCCTTTCACACACCAGGAGGACACTTACGTTCATCTCAGAGTCGTCCTCCAGCCTGGAACCATAGACCTCCCTGTTGGAGCCCAATCAGTCCGACCGTGAATCCCGTATCCAGCTGCCCCGTAATGGCTGGCAGCGTGAGGAAGCTCATGCCACATGTGCCGTGCAAGAGGCAGTCCACAACCAGGATGCAGGCATAGACGGAGGGAGGGAGGGAGAGAGAGAGAGAGAGCAGGAACTTCACCACTGCTCTCTCCATCTCCTCCCTCTTTACTGCCTCCCTCCTTCCCTCCTGTATCATCCCCTCCCCACCATCTCTCCTTCTATCCCACCATCCAGTGAAGGGTCTGATGGTGAGTGGCTTTGGGAGGATCTCCTGCTAATCGCAGAGACACACGGGCAGATGCCCAAACACAAACGGGGGCAGTCAGTGTACGTCACGTCTCCCCTGAGAATCACACAGTTGTCCCAAAGTCTGACAGAAGAGCTGCCCAAATATTTAGAGAAAACCGGAGTATGCCAAGGTAAAGAGTGCAGCATGAGCCTGCCTCTCCTTATGCACGCACAAACAGAGCCCAGCCCCCTCCGCGGCCCTGCCTCTCACGCACACACAGAGCTCAGCCCCCACTGTGGCCCTGCCTCTCCTCACGCACGCACAAACAGAGCCCCGCCCCCTCCACGGCCCTGCCTCTCACGCACACACAGAGCTCAGCCCCCACTGTGGCCCTGCCTCTCCTCACGCACGTGCAAACAGAGTCCCGCCCCCTCCGCGGCCCTGCCTCTCACGCGCAAACAGAGCCCCGCCCCCCCTGCGGCCCTGCCTCTCCTCATGCACGCACACACAGAGCCCCGCCCCCTCCATGGCCCTGCCTCTCACACACACAGAGCCCCACCCCCTCTGCAGACCTGCCTCTCCTCACGCACATGCAAACAGAGTCCCGTCCCCTTCCACGGCCCTGCCTCTCACGCACAAACAGAGCCCCGCCCCCCCCCGCGGCCCTGCCTCTCCTCACGCACGCACAAACAGAGTCCCACCCCTCTGCGGCCATGCCTCTAATGCGCAAACAGAGCCCCGCCCCCTCCGCGGCCCTGCCTCTCATGCGCAAACAGAGCCCCGCCCCCCCGCAACCCTGCCTCTCCTCACGTGCACGCGAACAGAGCCCCGCCCCCTCTGCAGCCCTGCCTCTCACGCACGCACAAACAGAGCCCTGCCCCCCACGCAGCCCTGCCTCTGGGATGCCCCCTTCCCCCAGGCAGGCCTGCACTCTCCTCCTCATTTTTTTTCTTCTTTTCGGGGAGGTCTCTCTTCCTCTCTCCTTACGATTCGGCCACTTTTTCTTAGACCTTGCCTGACTAATGAGCCCAAGAGAGACACGGACAGTCAGATAACTGGACAAGACAAACTGCAAGTACAGGGCATTCCTGAACATTTACACAGTCATGTGTGCAGGATAAACGCTCGAGTCGATGGTTCAACGAGATTAAGTTTGCAGCTGCATAGCAGAAGCACACCGATGATTTTCCACTTCTCAGCTCACACCTAAAAGTGTTGTGTTGGTACACTGTGCAATTACGCTTTGCTGCTATTATTACATAGTTATATTTCACTCTCTCACACAAGCAGATATCATGCACAAAGTCCTAATGAAGCTATCGATTGCATGCCGAGTCTCAGCACTCACTGCTGTCCAAATTTATTATCCATATATTTGCACTGACCTGTAAGTCACTTAGGAATAAAAATGACCAACAAATACAGGAAAATGTTTATGTTTCTCTGCCACTCCATGCATCTCCGTCAGTGAGTGGCTCTGAACAGAGCCGTTGTTTGTCTGTTTATAATCTTCTTGCCATTGTTTGTTCAGTCCGTTTGTTCACTAATCACACGCGACTATCAAAAGCTTCTTTACATCGGTGCAACAGTTCAACAGGATGCAACGTGGCCAACATGGCGAACCCAATCCAACTGGGGAGGCCGAGAAGATGTGAGCAAGAATATAATACGGGAGGGAGGGTGACCCAGTGAGGATGACACACAGTGGATCCTGACCCCCCCCCCACTGCCCAAGTTCAGTGATTGGGTGACAAAATAGAAGATCACAGAGGAAGACTGATTCCACAGGAGGTTCAGCGAGACACATACTTTTGTGACTGCATCCTTCAGGAACAACATGCGTACTGCATATGTGGAGATGTTCTCCCAGTACCGCACCTGAACTGGAGGTTCTGTTGCTCAAGCACGATTCATTCTACCTGCCCTGGAGTTCTCCACGGGAAGCCCTGTGCTGCATCCTCACAGACCATAAGGCCCCACAAAGGGTCACAAAAGTGGCCCAGAACAGCAGCGGTCCAGGACTCCAGCCACCCTGCACAGACACTTCCTACCAGTGCAGGACCATAAACAGAGATTCATAAACAGATTTTAGCCGAATGTCATAAGATTCCTCAGCATTTACACTGCACTCCAACAACTAACACTAACACTACTACACTGTCAAATAATTCAGGTCAAAACTCCTGCAGTCACTAACCACTTTTTCCCACCTCTCTTGTGATTCATTATTTTCTGCATAGCCGGGGTCATATTGATGTCAACGCATTTTCAGCATCAACATCATCAACTGCGGTCTAGGGGTCACTACATGTGACAATAAAACTTCTGAATCTTAAATCATTTAAATCGTGCAAGTCCCCTACTGGTTTCCAGAATTGTGGGTAGTAATACAGATGTCAGGATACTAGATTTTAGACATCAGGGAAAAGATTAAAAAAAACTAATACAACCTGTTACCTGGCTTGGTTAATTTGATGTCATGTTGTTAGATTAATTTTCAGAGTACCATTTTAACTATTTTATCCACAGCTCCCAGCAAGTGTTACTGGTTCCCCCACAGAATCCGGCTCTTTCATTACTGAGCAATTTGATTGGGGGGCAGGTAGGATTTGAACCCCCTACATGTATCTGTGTAAAGAGAGTGTGTAGGTCTGTGCAGTGTGTGAAGATAGCGGGCGTGCGGGTCACTCTGGTTAAAGGTAGTGGACATGTAGGTCTGTGCAGTGCGCTCTGGGTAAA